GTGGTAGCGGTGCGGTAACCAGGTCGTACCGGTGGTAGCGGTGCGGTAACCAGGTCGTACCGGTGGTAGCGGTGCGGTAACCAGGTCGTACCGGTGGTAGCGGTGCGGTAACCAGGTCGTACCGGTGGTAACGGTAGCCGCGGTAGATGAGGATGCCCACGTAGGCGATGCAGCAGAGCAGCGAGACAACAAGGTAGAGGATGAGCAGCGCTGAGAACTTCTGCACGTTCACCTCCGTTAGCACTGCTGAGGCCGTCTGATCGTCCACACACATGTTGTCCTTCTGCACAGGTGGTGGGGGATTGGGGAGGTGGTGGGCGGTTGGGTGGAAAGGGAAGAGGTACTGAGTCTATGACCTCCCATGTTCTCCCCTCACATGCACGCACTCGCAACCGCAAGTACTGAGTCTGCAAATCCTCATCTTCTCCCCTCACTCACACCCACCTGCAAGTACTGCGCCTTGAGTCGCTCCAGCTCCCCCTTCATTGTCAGCTCTAGGATGGCCTGAGAGATGTCCGCCCCCACCTGCGACTCCTTGGGAAACGCCTGTGAAGGGAGGGGCAATCATGGTGAGAAAGAGGGGGAGAAAGAAGAAATAAGAGGAACGGATATCTCTCAGATATGAGCGAAGGGAGGAAGGGAGGGGAGAATGTAATTTAATTCACTTTAGCAAGGCGAAGAGTAGAGTAGAGATATGGTGTCGGCCTTTCATTTTTGCTGTGAGGCATAGCTGATGGGGATGAGGAGCCGGTCTCAAGGGACACGGGAAAACTCTTCAGTGGGCATGCATATGGGAGACGCACATGTACATGCATATGGGAGACGCACATGTACATGCATATGGGAGACGCACATGTACATGCACATGCACATCCACATGCACATGCACATGCTATGCGCATGCACATGGTGAATACACACGCACAGATGCACAAACACACAAATGCAATTGCACATTCACGTGCGTATACATCCCCTTCCTCACAACCACATCCCAACAACCAATTTTCATGATGCACATGCACCACCTTGCGCCACACTGCACCACACTGCACCACACTGCACCACAGTGCACCAGAGTGTGCACCCACGAAGGCGAAGTTGAGGATGGAGAAGGGCTGCGACGCCTGCACGCCGTCACAGAAGGACGCAGAGAAGAGGTCGAGGTATGGGTCCTCCTCCACTATCACCGCCACCCTTCCTGACGCCAGTGACGATGCGTACTCGCTCTCTCCCGTCAGGGGCACCAACTTGTCCTGCCGGTGGGGTTAAGAGGTTGTGCGGAGGGACGGAGAGAAGGTGGGGAACAGAGGCATACTCGCTCCGTGGTGGAGAAGGGGTCGAGGTAGGAATCCTCGCCCAATATCACAGCCACCCGCCCCGTGGTGAGCGACGATGCATACTCGCTCTCCCCCACCAGCGACTCCAGCTTGTCCTGATGGGGTTCAAGGAGTGCTGACACAGGTGGAACAGGGGGAGACGGGGCAGAGGAGAGGGCGAGGCAGAGGAAAGGGACATAGGCAGCAGCAGCAGCAGCAGCAGCAGCAGCAGCAGCAGCAGCAGCAGCAGCAACAGCAACAGGTAGGTGAATGGGGAAGGTGTTCGAGCAGGCATGAGAGCCCAGGGTGGCATGGAAGGCGCGAGAATAGAATCAAATCAAACAACTTATCGTTTCGAGGTGGGGAAGAACACGTCATCAAATAAGGTGCAGTGATGAGGTGCCTTATACTCGGGTGAACAGGGCATGCGTCAAAGAGGCACTCACAGGTGCAACAGACGTCAAAGAGGCACTCACAGGTGCAACAGACGTCAAAGAGGCACTCACAGGTGCAACAGACGTCAAAGAGGCACTCACAGGTGCAACAGACGTCAAAGAGGCACTCACAGGTGCAACAGACGTCAAAGAGGCACTCACAGGTGCAACAGACGTCAAAGAGGCACTCACAGGTGCAACAGACGTCAAAGAGGCACTCACAGGTGCAACAGACGTCAAAGAGGCACTCACAGGTGCAACAGACGTCAAAGAGGCACTCACAGATGCAACAGCCAGCTGCCGCAGGTAAGAGCGAGTGCATGAAGAATCCCTGCTGTGCTGGTACCCGATAGGGCCACCGATGTAAGTCCATTCTCTACTTGCCTCAATAAAGATGGAGGTGTGAACGAGGCACTCACAGGAGCAACGCCAAGCTGCAGCAGGTGAGCAGGCACATGAAGGAGCCTTGCTGGTAGCCAATGAGGCCACCGCTCTAGCCCATTCTTGACTTGCCTTCAACAATCATAGAGACAAGACAGGGACGAGGCACTCACAGGTGCAACGCCCAGCTGCAGCAGGTACGAGTGCACAAAGGACCCTTGCTGGACCCCAATGGGTGAGTTGCTGGTGAGGGCGGAATAGATGTCCTGGTGGGGGATGGGTGGGTGGGCGCATGGCAAGGGCAGCGCACAGGGAGATGTGAGGCGTGAGCATGCATGCATGAGTTACCGAAAATGCCGGACCGTTGGCGCAGAAGGCGATTTTTTAGGCGCTTCAAAGATCAGACCATCTGTGTATGTGAGGTGCTTGTGAGGTGAGGGGGTGGATTAGATGTCCCGGTGGGGTGGGGCGGGGGGAGGGGGGGGGAGGGGCACTAGTAGGTCACGTGGGTCCGTGCTCTTTCAGGGAAAGGGAATGTAGGGGATAGAGGGATGGAGGGATGGATGGGAGCATGAGATGGAAGGCAATCTGGGATCGAATCGAATGTGCTAAGATAGAAGCGAAATTCTAGCATTGCACGTGCTAAAATAGGAGAGCGAAATGCTTACCATGTGCGGGCGTGTGGGGAACGAGATTGAAAACAGGTGCTAGCGGTTGCTGAAAAACAAAAGCACTACAATGCGAGTGATTATAAGAAAAGGGTTGCTCACGAGGATTTGTGGAAGGAGCCTCTGGATTGTAAGGATGGAGGTGAGATTGGCCACGTAGGAGTTAACTATGACCCATGCTAGTAGCAGCCATACGCATACGACCACCCTTGCTAGCGTCGTGTGGATGCAGAATACTGTAGGGAGGTGAGGCACACGCACGCACGCATTCATGCATGCAAACATGCACACGCAAACACACACACGCACACGCGCACACGCACATGCACACGCACACCCACACGCACACGCCCATCCACCCACACCCACCCACCCATCCCCCCACACATACACACCCACACCCACACACACACAGATGGTCATGCTACTCGCTCGCTCTGGTCCGATATGCACAGAAATTCTTAGAAACAATGCTATTATGATGACAAAAAGGTAACAGTTGGGGAAAGGCCAGGCAGTAGAGTTTGGCGCTTGGTAAAGGGCAGTGGCAGTAGCATGAGAGCAGGGGCGGCAGAGCAGAGCAGCAGCGGCAGCAGCATCATGAGCAGTGGCAGGGGCATACCCACGTGATAAAAGTGTATTTCGAGACGTCTCAAAAATACAATTTTATCATGCAGCGGCAGCAGCATCATGAGCAGTGGGATGATCGTCGTTTCAAAAAGCGCCAAAGTCATTGGGGAGTTGTGGGGAGTGGTTTGGACTGGTGGGAAGAGGTTGTGAGAGGTGGGGAGAGGACGCACTGGGAGTAGAGTAGAACGTGTGACAGCCATACCTGCAAGGAAAGAGAAGGGTGGGAGGGACAACCGAACGCACAAGGAGGGTGAAGGTGTGAGCGTGTGTGTGTGTGTGTGTGTGTGTGTGTGTGTGTGTGTGTGTGTGTGTGTGTGTGCGTGTGTGCGTGTGTGTCCATGTGCGTGTGCATGTGCATGTGTGTGTGTGCGTGTGTGTGTGTGTGTGTATGCAAGTGCAGCAGCTTGCCTTAAAAAAAGGGTTTGTGCTGCCTGCCTGTCCAGGAGCACAGCCAGCAGCCCTGTGACAATGAGAATGGAGGAACTGTGGCAAGCAATCAAGCTGTTGGAACCGCTACCTTGAGGCGCCACCAAGCAGCCCACCCACCGACCCACCCACGCTCCCACCCACCCACCCACGCTCCCACCCACCCACCCACCCACCCTGCCACCCACCCACCCACTCACCACACGGCTGTGATGATGCGTTTCCGCAGCGTGCCCTGGAAGTCGGGCGTGCGCTGCCGGTCCAGCATCATGGCGAGCAGCCCTGTGGTGAGGCAGATGGCGGCAGTGACGGCCCACATGGAAGCCGTGAACGGGGAGAAGACCATCCATGGGTTGCTGTATGGGCGTGAATAGCCCATCACGCTCAACCCTGATTGCTGGGAGAGGGAAAGAAGAAGGGGAGAGGATGGGAGACGGGGAAGAAGAGGGCAGCAGGGGAGGTGGTGTGGTGTGACAATGGACTGGAAGGCGAGGCAGAGCAAGGTTTGGTACCAGGCAGGCCTCGAGTAGCAAATCAAACCCTCGCATCATGGCGAGCAGCATGGCGAGCAGCATGGCGAGCAGCATGGCGGGCAGCACGGCGAGCAGCCCTGTGGTGAGGCAGATGGCTGCAGTGACGGCCCACATGGAGGCCGTGAACGGGGAGAAGACCATCCATGGATTGCTTGCTGTATGGCCGCGAGTTCCCCATCACACCCAGTCCGGATTGCTGGGAGAGGGGGAACGGGAGACAGCAGGGAGGGGCAGGGAGACAGCAGGGAGGGGCAGGGAGACAGCAGGGAGGGGCAGGGAGACGGGGAAGGAGAGGGCAGGCAGCAGCAGCAGGGAGCAGTGTGTGTGTGTGTGTGTGTGTCTGTGTGTGTGTGTGTGTGTGTGTGTGTGTGTGTGTGTGTTGGGTGTCAGGCCACAACCAGCACAGAGATTGCTGTGATAGCATGGGACGGGGAGGAACAGACGGGAGAGCAGCGGTAGTAGAAGTTGTGTCTAAGGTTGCTCCTTTTCAATCATCGTGGATTGACTGGCTTACAAGGCCCCAGTCTAACCACGTGCCCTCACCCCACATGCTCCCACCTCACATAGGTTAGCACCTACGGCCCAGTCTGGCAAGAGATGGTACCATACCTGGATGGGGTAGGTGAAGAAGACGAATTTGCTCCGCGAGTCCAGCACTGTGATGTCCCCCACTGCTGCATCGTACGTCTGCCAGGCAGGCGCGCAGAGAGCAGCGCACATAGCAGCACAGGGTACAGGGAAGCACAGGGCAGCGCAGGGAAGGAGGAAGCGCAGGGCAGCACAGGGCAGCACAGGGCAGCACAGAGCAGCACAGAGCAGCACAGGGCGCGCGGAGAGAGGGGAGAGGCACATATTTGTTGGCGACTGCCTGCACCAACCACGTTTAGCTGAGGGCCCTTTGAGGCGCCTCATAAGTCGACTCAGCTGCGCGTGACATGAGACAAGCTTTGAGTCGGCTCAAAACACGACTCACCCTGTCAGCAACAGCCAGCCAGCACCAGCTGTGTGTAGATGATGGTTCCGTACTTGAGAACTAGGGTTGAGAGGAGAGCACACACGCACTCCACTTCAGCCCTGCTTACTCGATCGTTCTGTTCAGGGTTACCATCTCTAGTGAAGGGACGCACCTTGTTGGCCACAGCCAGCACCATCTGTGTGTAGCTGGGCGCCTTGTCGCCGTATGTCACAAACTCGTAGTCCAGCTTGTAGGGTAACCGCGTAACTGCTAGACGGAACACCTCCACGCAGTAGCCTGAGAAGCGGCTGTTGCCCTCCCCCAAGGCGTCTGACACGTTCACATACTCCTTGTATTGCTGGAGCAAGGGGGGGCGAGAGGAGAAGGGGGGGTTATGTGAGGAAATAAGGAGAAGGGGGGGTTATGTGAGGAAATAAGGAGAAGGGGGGGTTATGTGAGGAAATAAGGAGAAGGTGAAGTTTGATGAGTCGAATCAGCAACAGTCACCACCAGGGCCCGAGAAATGGTTGCTGCCCTCCCCCAACGCATCCGACATGTTCACATACTTCTTGTATTGCTGGCAGGGAGAGGGGGGGAGAGGAAGGGAGGGGTAACGGGAGGAGGAAAAGATGACCAGCGTTTAGCCAGGTACTTACTTGAAAGGAGGAGCACATATTGTTGTTGATAAGGGTACCTGGATGGAACTAAGGCACCTGGTAATGAGGGCACCTGTTGATAAGTGAATGTGCACTGCTGATAAGGAACCTGCCTTGGTTTGCTAGCTTTCACCATTGTGCAAGCACCTGTTTGTTGGGCACTGCGATTCGAAGTCGGGTTTTGGGAAATGATCCTGTTGGGGCCTGCAGGAGAGAGCGGCACAAAAGGAGACAGGGAGCAGGGACGAGTGCGGGGCCGGGGCAGGGCCAGGGGCAGAGGCAGAGGCAGAGGCAGGGGAGGGGCAAGGGCAGGGGCAAGGGCAGGGGCAATGGCAGGGGCAAGGGTGAGACAAGGCTTGCAACGTTTGTGGCACTGCAATTCCAAAACCCAAGGGAGTGCAAGCAACAATGAGGAGGAGAAACGGGTGGTTTTGGCGCAGGAGTTACAAAACACACACACACACACACACACACACACACACACACACACACACACACACACACACAGAATAATAATACCAGAGGAATGAGCCTGCAAGTATTGCTGACACTGTGACCCCTCCCTCTTCCCCCCCTCCCTTCCATCTACCTGCGTGAGTCTTCCTGGAAAGATGATGGGAAGAGCATTCAGAGCCTGCACACAGCAGAGCAGGGAGGGAGGCAACGTCACTGATTCACACATTAGAGCTACCGATTGAACAGGGAGGCAATGTCAGTTAGAAGAACTACAAGTTCGAAGGGCTCTGGAAAAAACTGTCCTTTGTGTACTCATTTGTCCAAAGGAGCCTTCATGCTGGTGTGAAAAGTGGTGATAGGCTACTAGCTAGCGCATGCCTAATCATCAGCGTGGGACAAACTGAGCTCAAGCAATACAGAATTGTCCTAACCAGTGAGCTGGAGCCTAGAAGTAAGCCTGGGGTCTACACAGGGGAACCAGCGAAAGGTGGGGCTGGGGCTGGGAGATGGGAGAAGGCTGGGAGGGTGGATAGGGGTCGGGGAGATGGGTGGGGAGGAGGGGACAAGATTAACTAACCAGGGCGCTGGGGCCTGCTGCAGCAGGCCCTGGGGTAGAAGCAGGGGAAGCAGAGGAAGGTGGGGTGGAGGAGGAGGGGACGAGGCCGAGGGAGGAGGACCAGAGGGCCACTTCCACGGGGGCCCCTTTCTGGATGTTGAGAATGCGAATCTCGTTTGCTGCCAGGTCGCCGTGTGGGGTTAGCGCGATTCTGATGGGGGAGAGGGGAGTGTGGCAGGGAGAACATGAAGCAGAGGGAAAGTGAGGGAGGGGGAAAATGGAGGAGGGGAATGTAAGGGAGGAGGGGTAGAAGTAAGGGGTAGGGGGGGGGGTTGGTTACAAAGTGGACGGCAGATGGGAGGAGGAAGTAGGGGTTGAGAGCCATTTCCACGGGCGCCCGTTCCTGGATGTTGAGAGTGTTTGTGGGTGCGAGAGCGGGCTAGGCAGAGGAGAGAAGGTGTGGGGAGGAGGAAGTAGGGGGTCGAAGGGGACGGCAGAAACGGCATTGGAAGAACTGCAGAGGAGAACAGGTGTGGGTTGGAGGGTCAAAGGAATGTAGGGAAGATGGGACGAGGAGGAGGAGCACCGAGACAGAAGAATTTGAGCATGCCCATACCTCTCCTGGTGACTTTTAGAATTTGAGTCGACTCAAAAGTCACCTTTGAGCATGCCCATACCTCTCCCACTTCCAAGGTCACACACGCAGTGTATGCTGATCACCCAAACCTCTTCCTCCACACTCCTCTCATCACATCCCCCTCCCGCGCCCACGACACTCCCCTCCCCCAGATTCCTCACACACACCCTCCTTCCCCTCAACACGCCTGACCTGCCCTGCAGCCCGTCGAAGCTGGTCTTGAGAAGAGCCTTTCGCAGTGCCGATCCCACTGTGGTTGGGTTGGGTTGAGCAGTGCGGGGATAGCATCGATTTGAGGAGCTCGATTGCATCGCATGGCGGCAGGGTGCCAGAACGGGAGGGCATAGCTGCACTGCAGCAACAGAGCAACGAGAGAAGCATGCGACAAGCAGCAGACTATCGATTGAGTCTAACCAAAAATCAGTGCAGGACAACCAACGATGCAGCATACTTGCGCTTTGTTGGAGGCGGGTGAGTGGTGGGGCAAGGTGCATGGGCCAGGAGGCATGGGGCAGGACGCATGAAGGAAGGCACAGCATACTTGCACTTTGCTGAAGGCGGGTGAGTGGTGGGGCGAGCATATCCTGGGTGCCATTGGAGAGCAGAGGCAGCACCGGTAGCTCCAGCTGCTGGAATGCCTGCGCCCACCCCTCTTGTTGCTGCTGCTGCCCTGCTTTCTGCTGCTGCGATCTCCTCTGTTGCCCCATTTTTTTATGCTGCCCCTCTTGTTGCTGCCCCACTTGCTGCTGACCCAATTTCTGCTGCTGCGCTTGCGAGGGCTTGTTGGGAGACGAGGAGTTAGATGCAGGAGCGGAGGGGTAGAGCAGAGAGTGCAGCGCACGTGCCACGAGGGTCACAGCATCGTATGACGGGAGCGCGTATGGTGATGGGCTCTGGTTTGGTGGGAGTTGGGAGGGAGGCGTGGGACAGGGCATTGAGAGGAAGGTGCGAGTGTGAATTTTGAGTTACTAAAGAAATACTGGTGACATGACAGCATCGTGTGACGGGAGCGCGTATGGGAATGTGCTCTGGCTTCGTGGGAGTTGGAATGGAAGAGAGGCGTGGGGGAGCGTGGTTTGAGAGAGAGGTGTGTGGTGTGGGTGCAGAGGGTGGGAAGTGGAGAAGTGGACAGAGGGATGGGAGAGACGAGGTTGGTTTTGAGAAGTCTCAGAACCAACCTACAGGCAGATATATTTTCTAGCTCGACTTGGAAATCAACGAGAGCATGTAAGCTTTCTGGCTTGACGAAAGGAAGAAGAACAGAAACAACAGCAAGGGGCATACATAGGGTATATACCCCCTTGGTGATTCCCGGGTACTGGGATGCATCGAGGGTAAGAATTTGTTAGTAACAACAGAAAGAGAAAGGGCATAGGGTATATACCCCCTTGGTGAGTCCCAGGTACTGCGACGCGTTGAGGAGCTTCCAGCGACCGAAAAACGCTGAGAGGCGTGAGGAGGGGGGCACGTGGGTGGCTGTGATGATGAGTCCCTGTGGAGGTAGGGGAGAGAGAGTGGTGGAGTGGGGTTGAGAGAGATAATGATGACCGTTGCTGTACCGTTAATTCTGTTCAATGATGACAAGGACCGTTAGCTAAGATGAGAGGAGAGAAGAGCAGAGAAGACGAGGGTCACCAGGCCACTAAACGCTCGAATGAAACAAAGCCCATTTACATGCGATCCTCTTATAGGTTCCATCACCACTCTACACTCACACAAGACACACTCAATCACATCACTCCACTCACACCCACACCACTCTCATCCACTTGTTGAGTCGAGGTGGCACTGATGAGAGCTGTGGCCTCCGAGGAGATCCACCTGAGTCACAACACCACTCTCCACTCACCATCACCACTCCGCACCGCACCAGAGTCACTCGCACCAGCACCAATCTCCACTCACATCCACTTGCTGGGTCGATGTGGCACTGATGACAGCCGCGGCCTCAGACGAGATCCACACGCTGTTCCGCGCAAATAGATGCAGCTTGTTGGCTGACGTGAGTCATTGGGGGTGACGGTGCGGGTGGGGGGTGAGGGTGAGGGCGAGGGCGAGGGTGAGGGTGAGGGTGAGGGTGAGGGTGAGGGTGAGGGCGAGGGTGAGGGTGAGGGTGAGGGTGAGGGTGAGGGTGAGGGTGGGGGTGAGGGTGAGGGTGAGGGTGAGGGTGAGGGTTGCCCTTCTTCAAAGCAACCAGAGGCAGTCCTGATTCTTCCTTCTTTCTACTTCTTCACTTGTTTCTCGCATTCACCTGCTTACAGAACCCACGTGCCCTGCTTCAAAGGCAGCAGTGGATGGATTATGGATATATACGTACAGCAAGCAAGAGAGGCATGCGGTACACACAAGTAAACCGCCTTACGTCTAGCAGCAGGCGTTCTTCTCCTTCCACCTTTCTACTCTCTACTGGTCTCGCTTTTGCTGAGACTACATTTTACATAACTCACCTGCTGCAACGACGGCAGAGACTATGATCGGGGAGGTGTGAAGCACATAGACGGCCACGTCTAGCGACTTCAAGGTGGACATGTGCTGGTGAATGGCCTTGTCTGTGGCTGACAGCGGGATGGCCACTCGTGCTGCCACATCCGCCTCTGCCTGTTTGGTTGGGCAAGGGAAGGAATCAAGTCATCACACAGCATCTAGTTTGAGTTTGGCCAGAGCAAGCTTGCACAGCACAGCACAGCACAGCACAGCACCGCACAGCACAGCACAGCACAGCACAGCACAGCACAGCACAGCACAGCACAGCACCGCACAGCACAGCACAGCACAGCACAGCACCGCACAGCACAGCACAGCACAGCACAGCACAGCACAGCACAGCACCGCACAGCACAGCACAGCACCGCACAGCACAGCACAGCACAGCACAGCACCGCACAGCACAGCACAGCACAGCACAGCACAGCACAGCACAGCACAGCACCGCACAGCACAGCACAGCACACACACACAAGCACGCACCCACATAACACACACACACACAAACACGCGCGCGCGCACACACACGCACACAAATCCACGCTTGGGGCAGTTCTGAAGCGCCCCAAAACCTTCGCAACGCCTCAGAACTATTGAGATGTCTCCAGAGGCATCTCAGACACACTCAAGGAGGAATGAGCTGAGCTGAGCACGCACAACCTCTCACGCGCCTCAAGAGACTGTGACTGTCTCGGGGGGTGAGGGAAGCAGCTCACGCACATGCATGGAGAGCAGCTGCGAGGTGAGTGCAGTCACCCTGTTGCAGCCCAACCGATATCAATGACTTCTGAGAAGCTTCAAAGGTCGCCTTTCTCTCTAATAGCTGCGTGCCTGTACGCCATACAGTGTGTGTGGTACCACGCACATGGATGGAGAGCAGCTGCAAGGCGAGCGCAGTCACCCCGTTGCGGCCGAAGCGGTCGTCGCTGTAGATGAGCGCCACTTGCTGCCACTTGTAGCGCCGGATCAGCTCTGATTGGTTGAGATGAGAGGGAGGAGACATGAGGAGAGGAGAGGAAGGGGGGCTTGGGTTGAAAGTTGAGTCAATAGTCCCATCCATCCCATCCATCCATCCATCCCAGCAGTCGTCGCTGTAGATGAGCGCCACTTGCTGCCACTTGTAGCGCCGGATCAGCTCTGATTGGTTGAGATGGGAGGGAGGAGACATGAGGAGAGGAGAGGAAGGGGGGCTTGGGTTGAAAGTTGAGTCAATAGTCCCATCCATCCAATCCATCCATCCATCCCAGCAGTCGTCGCTGTAGATGAGCGCCACCTGGCGCCACTTGTAGCGCCTGATTATTTTTCGGCTGGTTGAGACAAGAGGAGCGAGAGGCGAAGGGAGGAGAGGAAAGGGCCCTTGAGCCGACGATCCAATAGTCCCGGTGATCGTCGCTGTAGGATGAGCGCCACCTGGCTCCACTTGTAGGATGCCAGATCAGCTCTGATTGGTGGACGAGGTTTGAGACGACTCACTCACAGGCCACTTTAAGTGCTACCTGAACCTGCGAGCATGTACCCACCTGCTAGCATGTACCCACCGGCTAGCATGTACCCACCTGCTAGCATGTACCCACCGGCTAGCATGTACCCACCTGCTAGCATGTACCCACCTGCTAGCATGTACCCACCGGCTAGCATGTACCCACCTGCTAGCATGTACCCACCTGCTAGCATGTACCCACCGGCTAGCATGTACCCACCGGCTAGCATGTACCCACCTGCCTGCACAGCCCCACCCACCTCTCATCCACCGCACTGTCTACAGCCCCACCCACCTCTCATCCACCGCACTGTCTACAGCCCCACCCACCTCTCATCCACCGCACTGTCTACAGCCCCACCCACCTCTCATCCACCGCACTGTCTACAGCCCCACCCACCTCTCATCCACCGCACTGTCTACAGCCCCACCCACCTCTCATCCACCGCACTGTCTACAGCCCGACGCTGCAGGTACCTGCCAGGGCGGCCATCTTCTCTGCACGGTCGCTGGGTGCGAAACACAGGTGTGCTCCTGCGACCTATACCTGCACCAGACATACACGGTGTATGTACAGTGAATACACCTTTACCGATCCCCTGCCCTGGGCCCGCATTCTTCCCACCTGCCATGGCAGCCATCTGCACGCCATCGCTGGCCACAGCACGCATGAAGAAGGGCCGGCTGGCGCCCTGCGTGAGCTGCACGTCCGTTGCTGACGCTGATATGAACGGCACCTTTTGGGGGGGAGGGGGGGGAGGGAGAGGGGGGGGGGGGGGGGGGGGGAGGGTGGGAGGGAGGGGGGGGGGGGGCGGGGGGGGGTGTGTTACGTGATAGAGGCTCAGGTTTGGGGGTGGGGGGAAGGGGGGTAGGAAAGGGATGGAGGACGAAGGAGGAAGCCGCGTGGGGGAAAGAGAGGGGGAGTGCGGCGGGTGTTATGGACGGTGGAAAGGAAGTGGAGAGGGGACATAAAGGAAGGCATTGAAGTGAAGTGTAGCTTACCAAGGATTTTTAGTGAGGACCAGCAAAACTGTGACTTTCGAATCGAATTACGAATTGAATAGGAAGGTTGATGAGTCAACGAAACAAATTTCAGACTTTTATTATTTCTCTCCTGAAAGACTTGTACTTGGGGTGGCATTAGTTGTCTGATCTGTTACCTGGGTTGCGGCTGCAAGAGGGCTGAATCGGGCGGCCTGGTCAGACGTGTGCGGGCCAATCACAGCCAACGGATGGTTCTCGAGCAGTTTGAATGCTGCCACGTGGAGGCAGGAGATGAAGCCACGTGGAAATGAGGGGGAAGAAATAACGAGGGTAAAGGGAATGAAAGAAAGTCATCGAGGGGGAGTGGACGGGAGAGGATGAAAGAGAAAAGGAGAGGAGGGTTGGATAGGAGGGGACGGGAGAGCAGCAGCAATGGCAGCAAAGTGAAACGGCGGAGAAACGAGCAGAGGAATGGGGGAGGGGAAGGGAAGACAGGGAGACGGGCCTTGGTATTGGGAGAGAAAGAGGGGACGGGAGCGCGGAGGGTGAAGGGAAGAGGGGACGGTGGGAGGGAGGAGGAGGGGAATACCTGTGAGCTGGCTCGCGAGCGAGGCGACGGAGTAGTTTTGCACCGTCAGATGCAGCACGTGGTTTGGCAGGATGCTGGGATCGCCGTTGATTTCCTCCACTGCCATGACAGAGGCTGGGTGGGGAAGAACGGGAAGGAGAGGACGGGATAAAAGAGGGAGAGGAAGGGGAAAGGGGAGAGGAGATAGAAAGGAGTGGAGACGAAGAGGGAAAGGAGGGGAGAGGGGGGGGGTGAAAGGAGAGGGAAAGACGAAGAGAAGGAGCGAGAGGAGGAAGAAGCGGCAAGAGCGTTGGAGCCACACATGGGACAGGAGCTTGGTGGACGGCACGTGTAGATAGGTTATTTTTGAGACGTCTCAAAAATAACCTTCTCTACAAGAGCGTTGGAGCCTCACATGGGACAGGAGCTTGGTGGACGGCACGTGTAGATAGGTTATTTTTGAGACGTCTCAAAAATAGCCTTCTCTACAAGAGCGTTGGAGCCTCACATGGGACAGGAGCTTGGTGGACGGAAGGCAGGGGGAGGGAGAAGCGATGAGGGAGGAAGGCGGAAGGAAGGAGGAGACGCATTGCCAGGCACGAGAGGGCGAGGAGGGGGGCGGCGCACTGACAACCACGTCATGATGACGCCACCTATTTTTGTCGCGCCTCAAAGGTAGACACAGCGCAGCGTACCGGCCAGCATGTCGACTCCCCCCGGCATGTCAGGGGCGAACAAGCATCCCACCGTCAGCACCGCTTTGCTCTTGTCGTTGCTCGAACTTCTTCCGGCCACCGCCTTTCTCCTGCGAGCGTCGATCTTCGTCCCGCCGTCGCTCGCCAGCATTCTCACCGACACACTCGCGTTCGTACACTCATCGTGGCCGTTGGCGCTAAAGCCGTTGCTTGAACCGTGACCGTTGACTCCAGAGATGCTGTTTGCGTGACTGAGTAATACTCGGTTCCGATCAGTATTAACGGTCAGGTTAGTGTTAGCGTTTAGATCAGAATCAGCGTTAGCGTCACGATCAGAGTTGACGTTAAAGGCTGAGTTAGCCGCGTGAGCGATCACGTCCGTCGCAACTTGCTCTGGAATGTCCCTTTCGTATCCGATCAGATTAGAAATTGATCCTACATCGTTAGCAAGGTCTGCATACTGAAACTTCATGTACTCTCCAGCGTTCGCCCCTGAAACTGTCGCGACGGCGCTTCCCGTACTCCTTGTAAGAAGATCCGTTAACGCTATAACGAGCGCTAGCGCGAGAATGAGAACCCGAGAGGAACCTTCGCGTTGTCGACGCGATGAAAGGCGAATGATGCCACCCGGTGGTGCCGCAGAAGTAGAATCCACTGTGCGCATCGTATGCATTCTTAGTGACCCTAATCCCGACGCGACCTCTGTGCGCATTGGCCAATGCGACCCGCATCGCACGCTGTTTCTGTCCCACGCCATCGCATGCTACCGCTATCACATATGCTGCGATTGATGTCATTTTCTATGATACGGATAATCAGTCACTTATCGGAGTGATTCACACGAGAAGATAGGGACATCCCCTGTGACCTGATTTGGCTTATCAACGGCGCACAATGCCCACGTGATAACCCATCCTGCTGCGATCAGGGCTGTCGAAGTCCCTGGGACCAAAACTTTGAGTCCTGAGCTGCTCCAATTCTGGCCCTGATTTTCACGGGCGCAGTTCAAATTAAAAACTTGAAATAAGGGCTTCTTAGGGAAGTGTGCTTGAGCCCTGATGTAACACAGGAGGATATTTTCTCTTACTTAGCAGGAAAAGGTGCATACAAACTACTCATCCACACGCCTACAGCCTCTACATCGTAGGCAAAAGCACCATTAGAAAAAACATCGGGGAGTAGGGGTATGGGGGGGAGCCGGGGGGAATTTGGGGGGGTGGTGTCCTTCGAAACAGAAACCAAAGCTTTGATTCAGGGGAAGGCCCAAACGAGGCCCGTAACGGTCACGGGTGCCATGCGGATCTAACACTTTAAATGGTCGAACTGCTCGAAACGTAAGCTGGAATGTTCAGGGAATTAAGGGCAAATGCCCTTGATTCTACAGCCCTGGCTGCGATGCGATGGCCATAACGAGTGGCTTCAGTTCAAGCAAACTTCGGAGGAGGAGCAGAGCAGAAGCAGACAAGCAAATCGTCAATGCCAACGTCCAGTCCGGACCAATAGATTTCGGCACTGACACACAAGTTGCGTCTCGTTGGTTGTGTGGGGACACAAACAGTGACTGAGGGCGAGGGGAGAAAGGGGGGTGAGCGTTGACAATTTGCAAGCTGGCATTCGTTCCTTTCGCGCGTGTTTGGTGCGCGTGTTTGGTGCGCGTGTTTTTTGTTCCTTTTAGGCGGCAGGACACAAAGTACACAATGTGCGCGTCGCAGTCTAGCTCAATCAAAACAACTTTAGAAAGTTATGATGTGGTGGTACAATGGCAGGAAAATGATCTTATATTTATATACATTTACAATGCACAACACGTTTCGGATAGAAACCTAGACTAATGTCCCTATTAATCATAATGGTAGTGAGTAGTAGTGCTATTTACCAGTACTACATTCATCCTAGTGATGCCGTATGAATACAGCCATGCATAGAAGCGTGTTTAGGAAGCAAATGGAAGGGGAGTTACAGGATCAAACAAATCGACTCTCTCTTACTCTCCCATTTTCTCACCGGTGAGCAGGCAGCCCTAACATCACCGCACACTTTCACGCGGGCTCCTTCCCTCGCACGTCCTGTGCCATCCTTGTCCGCGTCTGTGTGTGTGTTTTCATGAGAGCAGCAGTCTTCACTCTCCGCCGGGCCCGTGGCGAGTACTGCACCTGCACCTTCCACGATGCTCGCTGCCGCCGTGCCATCACTGACGTGGGCCGCCGCTGCTCAGGTGGCTGTTCAGGTGGCCGCTCAGGTGGGCGGCCAGGTGGTCCCTCAGGACTCTCAGGTGGACAGCCAGCTGGCAGCTCAGGTGAGCGGCCAGCTGGGAGATCAGGTGGACGGTCACTGGGACGTTGACCAATCCAGGCGTTCCTGAGCTGACCCTGAGTTGGCGTGAAGGATGCTGGAGGCACGGAATGGGCTGATGAAGGATAGCTGTGCTGTTGGGGGGCCGTGTGTGGGGGGTCGGGTTTGGAGGAGGTAAGGATGCTGCCTGTGCTTGTTCCTGCATGTGATGGCTTCCTGGATGCTGCAACTGCTGCTGTACCACCTGCCACACCAGATGCCCCATGGGCTGGTGCACGTGATGGTGCACGTGATGGTGCACGTGATGGTGCACGTGATGGTGCACGTGATGGTGCACGTGATGGTGCACGTGATGGTGCACGTGATGGTGCATGTGATGCAGCATGGGATCGTGTATGAACCGGCACACGCGTTGACGCATGCAAAGTTGTATGTGATGGTGCAAACGATACTGATCGATCTGGGCCGCGAGATGTGGCCTTTCGTTGCAGTCGTGGTGGGCCTTCAGAGGTGATCGAAGAGGCAGGTGAAGGAAAGCCGTGAGCAGAAGAGGCAGGTGATGCAAGGGTGTGAGCAGAAGAGCCAGAGGGCGATCGGAACTCAAAAGTAGCGGTGGTCTGCTGCGGCTGAGCGTTGTAGGCCGACAGGTGCCTCTCCCTGCTCCATTCTTTGCCCTGCCATAGATAAACGAGGGAAGAACGGGGGAAAAAAACCCCAAAAAAAAAAAGGGATGGACAAAGGAAGAGCGAAATGAAACGGGGGACCCCTAACAAAACACACTGAAGTCAACAGCTTCAGAAGCAGCCCTTTACTGGTGGTTTGGATGCTAATAGTCTGGCTAATCAATGGAGAGATTGAGATTCTTTTAATGCCATTGCGCACTCACCTCGTGAAATTTATCCAGAAGGCTGCTTTGAGGCACCTCAAATGACCTTGGGAACTCACCTTGTGAAATTTATCCACAAGGCTGTCCACTTTGGTGTGAAAGGACTCCATTCTTGGCAAGTCAGTGGAGCCAAGGGACGGCAGGCTGGGAAAGGCCGGCAGAGTGGAGGCGGGCGGTAGAGAGGGGAGTTCAAATGACGGCTGAGTGGCGGGTGTAGAGGTGGGTAGAGAGCGGTTTGTGGGGAAAATGTATTCGGAAGAAGGGAGTCGGGGGACGATTGAAGTGAGCCTGGGAAGTTTTAATATTCGGGTGGCTGAGCTTGAGTTGGTGCGGCTGCTGCTTTCTTGGGAGGAGAGGCTTGAATGGGTGCTTCTGGTTGGGCTGATAGCAGTGCTGGAGGCGGTGCTGGCATAGGCGTGAGTATCAAGATGGGAGGGAGGGAGATGCTCCTTGTCCATGCCGCCTTGCTCCTCTCCTCCAGCCGCCTCCTTCCATCCTGCTTGCTTGTTAGTAGATGCCTCCCCTTTATAAGATACTGCCTCTCCAAGGGATGTTTTATTGCTGTGAGCTACTCGCCGTCTGCTCAACTCATCTGCAGCGCTCTCATCTTGTTGCCCGTCGTGAGATCCTCGACTTCTCTTGCTCCCGAGGGATGAGTGTGACACACGGGAGAGGATGGGCTGTGGGTGTCTTGGTGGTCTGCTGCTGGATGCTGCTGTTGATTCAGATGATGAAACAGCAGCAAGAACAGGGCCAGGGGCATGGGCAGGAGCAGGAGCAGGAGCAGGAGCAGGGGAAGGAGCAGCGGAAGGAGCAGGAGCAGGAGGGACAGCTGATGTTGCTTCTGGAAGCGCCTTCAGGTGCTGCTGCTGCTGCTGTTGCGGCTGCTGCTCCTGCTCCTTTTCTTGCTTCAAACCACTAAGCGAGCTCTGAGCAGCTGGGGCAGAAGACTGACTGCTGCTCAGGAGTGCGTGGAGGACTGACGAGTTGGAGCAAGGTCGGGAGGCCGCTCGAGTAGTGCGGGACGGCTGAGAGAGGGAGGAGGGAGAGGAGGTGATAGTGTTGCGAGGCACCCCAAGGGACGAGTGCAGGGAGGAAGAGGAGGAAGGATTGATTTGAAGCGGGGCAATGAAGGACCGAGCGCGGAGCAAGGGGGGCGATGAGAAGAGGAGAGGGAGTGGAGCATCTGACTTGGTTGTTTCCTCGTCTCTTGCCGGTTGCTCGACTGCTGCCCACCTGCTGCTCTCTCTCATGCTCCCACTACTGATTTCTGTCATACTCCGCTTATTGCTTTCTCTGATGCTTCCTCTACTGCTTTCTATCATACTCCCTCTACTGCTTTCTCTCATAATCCCTCTACTGCTTTCTCTCATACTACCTCTACTTCTTTCTCTCAAACTCCCACTACCTCTCTCACTCATACTTCCTCTTTTGTTAACTCTCATGCTCTTGCTACCAATGCTCTCTCTCATGCTCCCACTACCAATGCTCTCCCGTAATTCTCCACTTTCCAAGCTCCCTCTGCTTCCTCTCCCAGTGCTCCCTCTGCTCATTTGGGAACCAGGCAGGAGGCCAAAGCGGTCCTTGTCAGAGCCAAGAGAGTCTTCAGAGTCAACCAGGTCAACGCCTTCCTCAGTGCTGCCGCCGGGGGGCTCCCTGCCAAAGCTCTTGACCTTGTCCACTAGTGACTGAACACCCTTCTCCCGCACGTAGCGGTAACCGCGGTAGATGAGGAGTGCAACATAGATGATACAGCAGGCTGTAGAGACGACGAGGTAGATGATGTACAGGCCTCCGAACCGCTGTATACCGAACTGCACCGCAGTGGTCTTCTGCGGGCAGACGCTCTCAGACTGAAAGCGGAAGGGAAAGGAAGGAGGGGAAGGAGAAGAAGGGGCGACGACAGGGTGAGGAAGGATAAATAATGTGTAAAAAGTCACTGTAAGAGATTTTTTCGAAGTAAAAAAAAAAGCACGGAAATCGGACAGCAGAGTGCTAAGGGAGAGTGCCTGGAGAAAGGGGCAGGTGATGGATGAGCACTGATTAATATGAAGCCGTGTGGCAGGTGTGGCGGATGTGGCAGCACTTGGATTATGCAGGCGGCCTTACACTGAAGTACTTTACATGAAGCTGCTCCACCTCCTGTGTCATGCGCAGCGCACCAATGGCATTAGAGATGTCCTGGCCCAGGGAACTGCCCTTCTGGAAAGCCTGTCGGGGAGCATGAGGGTGAAAGCCACAGTGCAGAGGGGCTCTTATTTGTCACTCCCCATACAGGAACAATGCACCCTCCTGTACTGTGTCATGCACAGCGCACCAATGGCGTTTGAGATGTCCTGGCCCAGGGAACTGCCCTTCTGGAAAGCCTGTGCAGAAGGGGGGGGGGGGGGGGGGGGGGGGGGGGGGGTTGAGAGCCACAGCGCCAAGATGCTTTGAATTTGTCAGGGACCAGTGTGGAGCCCTTCTCGGAAGCCTGTGGGGAGCGAGCGGGATGCTTTGTTTTGAGACGTCTCATTGCTTGGGATGTTGGTTCCCGATTCGGTGCCTTTCCGGAGCGCCTTTGAGTAGTCTGTGAGGAAGGCGAGCGCCTTTGAGAATTCTCAAAAGGCCTTGTAGCGGTTTGTGAAGAAGGCGAGCAGAGAACGCGCGCAAGGGAACAAGGCCAGACAGTCGCACCACACAAATTGCGGGCGAGTTTATGAGACATTCTTTCTCTTTAACTCGGCAGGCAGACGCACGTACAAAGGCGAGGTTGAGGGAGGAGAATGGCTGTGCGGACTGCATGACGTCACAGAACTGGGATGTGAAGATGGCCAGGTAGGGATTCTCATCCACTATCACAGCCACCCGCCCCGACGCCAGTGACGATGCATACTCGCTCTCCCCACTCAACGCCACCAGCTTGTCCTGATGGCGTTCCGAAGGTGTGTCGAGGGGAAGTGACAGGAGACAAGGCAGACGTGCAGAGGTTGGGGCGGAGGAGAGGGTGAGGCAGGGCAGGGTTGTTGCGGACTTGCGCACTTTCCCACCCTGGAATGCCATGAGGACAAGCTGGTGTCATTGGCCGGGGATGGCTAGCTACAGCAGGTAGGAAGAGACGAAGGTGAGGTTGAGATTTCATTTCATGCAGCAGCAAGGTCACGACCCCAAGCATGCACCAGGACCAGAACCACAAGGTACAATCATGCAAATACCGGAGAGACTCCCAGCTGCTGCAGGTAGGAAGAGACGAAGGAGGCCTGCTGATAGCCAATGGCGGCATTGCTGTTGATGGCCGTGGTGATGTCCTGATGGGGCGAGGGGGAGAGACGCGGGGTGGGGGAAGCAGAGGGGGAGAGGGTGGGTGGGACCGTTTGAGTCTACTGCAAAACCATGCTGGTAGCCGATGGGGGTGTTGCTGTTGATGGCCGTGGTGATGTCCTGATGGGGCGAGGAATCATGGAGTGGTAGGTAGGTATGTTGGGTTGCTTTTGAGAATGATAAAAGGCAACCCCAATACAGCCCAGGGGTGCATGCATGGAATGGAATGGAATGGTGAGGGGACCACGGTGGAGTCCGAAACCTCAGGACCATGGAATGGAATGGTAAGGAAGGATGATATTAGCTTTTGAGGAGCGTCAAAGGTAAGGAGTGGTGCCATGAGATCCACAGACTGGTGGAGGCAAGGCAGAATTTCGTAGGGAGCGTGCAAGGCAAAATTCGATGTTATATCAGTTGACTCGAAAATAATATCTGGGATTCCGAAGGGAGTTCACATGGCAGAGAAACCCAGAGCTCGGATGAGGGGAAAAGAAAACAGGAGCACATACTAAAGTGCTCAAGTGAAAAAGAACCGGAATGGTGGCGGTGAGAGGGGCTCACGAGAATGGTGGGGGTGAGCCTGTGAATGGTGAGAATGGCAGTGAGGTTGGAGGTGTAGGAGGCGAGGAAGAGGAAGGCGAGAACAAGAACAAAGATGTGAAGGCAACGCGAACGCACCAGAATGGTGGGTGTGAGCCTTTGAATCGTGAGAATGGCAGTTAGGTTGGAGGTGTAGGAGGCGAGGAAGAGGAAGGCGAGAATTAGCCACATGCCCAGCACCGTTCGCGCTAGCACTGAGCGGATTGAGTAGACTGCACTGAGCAGAGAACAGGTTGTGTAATGGGGAGAGAGGATGAATGTGTGCTTTCAGGCGATCAAGAGGCGGGTGGGAGTTAGGAGGGAAATGGGAAGCAGACGTGTTTTTTAGTAATCGAACAGCTAGCCTGCTTCAACAAAGGATTTATGTAAAACTCCCTCCTTTATCACGGCAAATTTTCCAGGCAAGCGTACGGGACAGAAGGGCCTACCTATGACAGAGTAGAGAGTGTGAAGTCCAAACCTGCCACAGGACCCAAGTGGTACACAGGAAGCAGCAAGCACTTGAAATTGCGAGCAATAGCAGCAGGGAAAACGTGTGTGTTGCATGGATGGATCATGCAGGCAGCATCCGACGCAGATGGGATGGGACAGCGCCACGGGAGTGTGTGCGCGCGCAGAGGAAAATTGGCAGCGATTCAAGACGTGGAGTTTGGTGTATGCAGGCGCCATGGGACAACGGCACAGAAGGACTGTTGAGACATCTCAAAACCTGGTGCACGCAGGCCTTGACGGCACAAGACTGCGCGCGATCCAACCAACGCAGAGGAACATTGGCAGCCCTCAATTCAATCAAGTGGTGCTTGGCGCAGCAGTGAAGGACTTCTTAAGTCGACTCAAAGTCGCCAAACTTGAGTGGCCATCTTCCCGTTCCTCTCACCATGCAGCGATGATGCCAAGCTGGTGCAGCTCTGCCTTGAATGCACGTTGAGGCTCCGCTCGAGGAACACCATGAGTGCGCCTGTGAGCAGAGAGAGAGGAAACCCGCGCACCACGGCCCACTGACCCATAATCCGGGCTCAAGGCACCTAAAGGCATCTCAGCTCTCACCAGGCGGCAGTGATGGCAAGCTGGTGCAGCTTTGCCTGGAAGTGTATGTTCAGCCGCCACTCTAGGAACACCATGAGTGCGCCAGTGAGCAGAGAGAGGCCTAGCAGAGTGGCCCACATGGAGGGCGTGAAGGGCAGAAACGCCGTCCACATGTCGCTACTCTCCCTTGAGTACCCTATCAGACTCAGACCCGATTGCTGACGAGGAAAAGGGTTTCGAGAGTGGGGGGTTGAATGCAAGAATTTAAAAAAACCTATTTTTGAGTCGACTAAAAAATTACGACATGTGGACGGCGTTTCTGAATGCTCTCCCTTTTCTGAAACGGGGCCGCTACTCACATTTGCACCGTGCATGAATGCTCTCCCTTTCCCCCTCCCGATCTCTCGCAGTCACTAAAGTACGCAGGCACGTACGACAAGAAATGCCTTTCAGTTGACTCAAAAGTCATCTCTTGCATCCGGTGGCACGAGCGAGTCACATACGAGGCACACACAGACACATACGAGGATGGATTGGGTGACAATGTCTTTGAGCCGACTTAAAACTCATCTCGTGCGTTCACTATAAAATACGCAGGCAGGCGCATGTACGAGGATGGATTGGGTGAAGTAGACCATTCGCTGGCGCGAGTCGACCACTGTGATGTCGCCCACTGCCCCGTCAAACTCCTGTGGACCAGGCGATGGGGGAGGGGAGGAGGGGCGCGCAGAGGGGCGACTGAGAAATGTGTGGCAGGGAGAGGAGACAGAGGTGGTGGCAGAGAAGAGAGGTGGGCCAGGTGATGTGATGTCGCCCACTGCCCCGTCAAACTCCTGTGGGCCGGGCGGTGAGATTAGAGGCGATAAAACGATAGGTGCAGAGAGGCACGAGAGAAGGAATGCACTCTGACCTGCATTGGGATCAGAATCGCTTCAGTGGTCAGTGGGGTGGAGGGAGGGGAGGGACAGTGAGACGAGAAGTACATTGAACAACGAGAGGAGCTGTGCGATGATAGGAGAGATGAAAACTGTGACTCGCTATCCTGCACTCCTCTCTGCACTCCTCTCTGCACTCCTCTCTGCACTCCTCTCTGCACTCCTCTCTGCACTCCTCTCTGCACTCCTCTCTGCACTCCTCTCTGCACTCCTCTCTGCACTCCTCTCTGCACTCCTCTCTGCACTCCTCTCTGCACTCCGCTCTGCACTCCTATCTGTACCCCTCTCTGCATCCCTCTCTGCGACACATGATAACCTCACCTTATTCTGCACAGCCTGCACCATCTGGGTGTACCTGATGAGGGCACCCGTGTACTCTACAAACTCGTAGTCGAGCTTATAAGGGAGACGGGCCACGGCCAGGCGGAATAAATCCACACAGTAGCCGGAGAACCTGTCATTGCCCAGCGACTCATCTGCTGAGATATTGGCAAACTGCAGGTAGATCTGTGGTGGGAGAGGGGGGGGAAGTTGAGGGGGGTGGTTGGCATGAGGGGACACCAGTGTATAAACTCGTAGTCGAGCTTATAAGGGAGGCGGGTCACGGCCGGAACAGGTCCACACAGTAGCCGGAGAACCGCTCATTGCCCAGCGACTCATCTGCTGAGATATTGGCAAACTGCAGGTAGATCTGTGGTGGGAGAGGGGGGGGAAGTTGAGGGGGGTGGTTGGCATGAGGGGACACCAGTGTATAAACTCGTAGTCGAGCTTATAAGGGAGGCGGGTCACGGCCGGAACAGGTCCACACAGTAGCCGGAGAACCGCTCATTGCCCAGCGACTCATCTGCTGAGATATTGGCAAACTGCAGGTAGATCTGTGGTGGGAGAGGGGGGGGAAGTTGAGGGGGGTGGTTGGCATGAGGGGACACCAGTGTATAAACTCGTAGTCGAGCTTATAAGGGAGGCGGGTCACGGCCGGAACAGGTCCACACAGTAGCCGGAGAACCGCTCATTGCCCAGCGACTCATCTGCTGAGATATTGGCAAACTGCAGGTAGATCTGTGGTGGGAGAGGGGGGGGAAGTTGAGGGGGGTGGTTGGCATGAGGGGACACCAGTGTATAAACTCGTAGTCGAGCTTATAAGGGAGGCGGGTCACGGCCGGAACAGGTCCACACAGTAGCCGGAGAACCGCTCATTGCCCAGCGACTCATCTGCTGAGATATTGGCAAACTGCAGGTAGATCTGTGGTGGGAGAGGGGGGGGAAGTTGAGGGGGGTGGTTGGCATGAGGGGACACCAGTGTATAAACTCGTAGTCGAGCTTATAAGGGAGGCGGGTCACGGCCGGAACAGGTCCACACAGTAGCCGGAGAACCGCTCATTGCCCAGCGACTCATCTGCTGAGATATTGGCAAACTGCAGGTAGATCTGTGGTGGGAGAGGGGGGGGAAGTTGAGGGGGGTGGTTGGCATGAGGGGACACCAGTGTATAAACTCGTAGTCGAGCTTATAAGGGAGGCGGGTCACGGCCGGAACAGGTCCACACAGTAGCCGGAGAACCGCTCATTGCCCAACGAATAGTCTGAGGAAATATTGGCGAATTGCAGGTAAATCTGGGGGAGGTGGTATTACGAGAGACAGGCAAAGAAGAAATTTGAGGCGCCTCATAAACCTGGCGTTGCCAAGTCGTCAGGGGAGATAATGTCAAATTGTAGGTAGATATGGGGGAGATGGTATTAGGGGACCTATTATTATGAATACTTGGGTCGAACAATACCTACCGGCAGTGCCAGCCAGCTTCTCTGATGCTGCAACCAAGAACAGAACTTACCAGCTTCTTTGGCACAGCTATCCGAACTCGCCGCTTGGGAAAGGCTCCTCTGGGAGGCTGGAAGTTGGTAAGAGAAGCAAGAGTTAGAATGAGGGACGAACAGACAAATTGGGGACGAAACCACACAGATCGCACAAGGCATAGAAAGCATGATTGGTTCCTTTATGAGGCGTTTCAGATATCCAAGCAAGTTGCATGATTGGTTCCAAGATGAGGTGTTCTGACAGGAGATGTGTGCCACAACAATGCTTTGCTGCGCACTCAACAGCTGAGCTGACAATGCGCTTGTGTGTGTGAGGAGTCTAGTTCTGAGGAGCCTCAGAACTAGAACGCACCTGTGTGAGGCCGTCAGGAAAGACAATGTTGACTGGCTGCTGCACCCCATCAGCTGTAGCATTCTCCTGCCACATGACCGACCGCGACAAGGAGGAAAAAGGGAGACTGGGTTGACTGAGCAAGCAAGCAACAAGGAACAAGGAAGGCTGAAGTCGCAGCCAATCTGAGTATGCATCGAGGTCACTCATGGTGGAAGGGCAGCAGTGCTAGTGAAACGTTTTCGTCAGGGCTATCGATAAGCCAATCTGAGTATGCATCGAGGTCACTCATGGTGGAAGGGCAGCAGTGCTAGTGAAACGTTTTCGTCAGGGCTATCGATAAGCCAATCTGAGTATGCATCGAGGTCACTCATGGTGGAAGGGCAGCAGTGCTAGTGAAACGTTTTCGTCAGGGCTATCGATAAGCCAATCTGAGTATGCATCGAGGTCACTCATGGTGGAAGGGCAGCAGTGCTAGTGAAACGTTTTCGTCAGGGCTATCGATAAGCCAATCTGAGTATGCATCGAGGTCACTCATGGTGGAAGGGCAGCAGTGCTAGTGAAACGTTTTCGTCAGGGCTATCGATAAGCCAATCTGAGTATGCATCGAGGTCACTCATGGTGGAAGGGCAGCAGTGCTAGTGAAACGTTTTCGTCAGGGCTATCGATAAGCCAATCGATAGATAAGCCAATCTGAGTATGCATCGAGCACATGTTGCTTGATAGAGATGGTGAGTGGAGCAACAGTCTCCTACAGGCACACCACCTCCACACCGAACTCAACCAACCCAACTCTCCTGCAGTTCCTGCCATCACTCATGCATCACAACCTCTCACCGAAGCAGCAGCTGCTGGATAGAACATTCTCTTACAGGCACACCACCTCAGCATTGCATTCACCCAACACTCCTCTCCTGCTCCCAATTGCAGTTCCTGCGGTCACTCGTAAGCACTCACCGAAGCAGCAGCTGTTTGATAGAGGCCGTGCATGGGGGACCAGTACCCCACAGGCACCACCTCCACGTTCCCCTGCAGGCTCACTGGCCCAGTCACTGAACCACCACGTGAACCAGTGGATGAACCACTGAGTGAACCACTGGCTGAACCAGTGCCTGAACCGGTGGCTGAATCAGTGGCATCCGTAGGGGACTCCGTTGACTGGCTTGACTGGTCAGTGGCTGCAGGTGGTGACGCGGATTGGCCGGCACTGGCATTAGATCCTGCGACTGCAGCTGCATCTGTGGTTGTGGCTGCAGCTGCATCTGTAGTTGCAGCTGTAGCAGGATCGGTAGCAGCAGGGGTGCTGCTCTGCGAGGCCTGCCTGTGGACGTTGAGGATGCGGGTGAGGTTGCTCTGCTGGTCGCCCTGGGGGGACAGCGAGATGCTGCCTGAGGCGCCCTCAAATCTGGTGCTCAGAATGGCTGCTCGCAGCATGGAGCCCACTGGAGTGAGGGGGATTGGCATGGGACGGGGGGCCGGGAGGAGAGGGCATGATCAGTGGCTGTGGATGTTGAGCATGCGGAGGTTGTGAAAGTGTGGGTGTGGGGGGAGGTTGGAGGACAGGACAGCATATAACAAAGAGAAAATTGATAGAAGATAGAAGGAGTTTGATGGGAGAAGCCACAAAGGGGGAAATGAGGGGGAGAGGGGGGTGAGAGGAGAATCGGAAAGAAGGGAGAAGAGGGAAAAGAGAGGGAGGTCTTACAAGGGCTTCTATGGAGTAATGCAAGAGGGGGGATAAGAGCCGGCTCCGCACCACTGCTGCTGCTGCTGGCGAGAGACAGATGGAGTGTTGGCCAGGGTGTGTCAAGTAGATCCGTGAGGTTTCTGTGGGGTTCTGTGGGGGTGGTAGAGGCGTCTGGGGACGACGCATTGGTGCTGCTGCCGGCGGAGCTGCTGTTATAGAGGATGGAGTGTAGAGCGTGAGCGATGAGGTAGACTGCATCGTAGGAAGCCAGGGCATAGGCCATGGGCATCTGTGGCAGAGGGGGGAGGTGCAGCAGGGGAGAGAGAGGTACAGCAGGGGAGAGAGAGGTACAGCAGGGGAGAGAGAGGTGCAGCAGGGGAGAGAGAGGTACAGCAGGGGAGAGAGAGGTACAGCAGGGGAGAGAGAGGTACAGCAGGGGAGAGAGAGGTACAGCAGGGGAGAGAGAGGTACAGCAGGGGAGAGAGAGGTACAGCAGAGGAGAGAGAGGTACAGCAGGGGAGAGAGAGGTACAGCAGGGGAGAGAGAGGTACAGCAGGGGAGAGAGAGGTACAGCAGGGGAGAGAGAGGTACAGCAGGGGAGAGAGAGGTACAGCAGGGGAGAGAGAGGTGCAGCAGGGGAGAGAGAGGTGCAGCAGGGGAGAGAGAGAGGCACGCGTTGGGATAGAGAGAAGCATTGGGGAGAAGGAGAACAGAGAGACATCCAATGGTATGAAAGGAGGGGGGTGAGCGAAGATGGGGAGCCCCAGTGGAGACCAAGAGAGTTGACGGCATCACCACGGCAAGAATGAGATGCAATCATTAACACACACACTCACACGCGCGCGTGCACACACACGCACACACACGCACACACCCGCACACACCTGGCGGCTGACGTTGGGGAAGCGCACAGGATCGAGTGTGAGCCACTTTGAGACAAAGGCAGTCAAGGGAGCGGAGGTGGGGATGTCAGTGGCCGTCACGATCATGCCCTGCCTTAGGAAACGGGGGAGGAGGAGGGCACTGTATTTATTAAGGCGCCTAAAAGGAGGAGGAGGAGGAGGGCACTGTATTTATTAAGGCGCCTAAAAGGAGGAGGAGGGCACTGTATTTATTAAGGCGCCTAAAAGGAGGAGGAGGAGGGCACTATATTTATTAAGGCGCCTAAAAGGAGGAGGAGGAGGGCACTGTATTTATTAAGGCGCCTAAAAGGAGGAGGAGGAGGGCACTGTATTTATTAAGGTGCCTAAAAGGAGGAGGAGGAGGGCACTATATTTATTAAGGCGCCTAAAAGGAGGAGGAGGAGGGCACTGTATTTATTAAGGCGCCTAAAAGGAGGAGGTGGAGGGCACTGTATTTATTAAGGCGCCTAAAAGGAGGAGGAGGAGGGCACTGTATTTATTAAGGCGCCTAAAAGGAGGAGGAGGAGGGCACTGTATTTATTAAGGCACCTAAAAGGAGGAGGAGGAGGGCACTGTATTTGTTAAGGCGCCTAAAAGGAGGAGGAGGAGGGCACTGTATTTATTAAGGCGCCTAAAAGGAGGAGGAGGAGGGCACTGTATTTATTAAGGCGCCTAAAAGGAGGAGGAGGAGGCGCCTAAAATAATCAATGTCAGTAACCGTCACTATCATGCCCTACCAGTGGCAGGGAGGGTTGGGGAAGAAGGCAGGGGGGATGATTCAGAGAGTCATTGATCGAGGGGGAGGAGCATAGTGAGAAAGCAATCTAGGCGAAGGGAGCATTGTGGGGAAGAGAGCCGTTATATCAAAAGGTAACATAACACCAAACTTGGGAAAATGTGGAGAGACCAGCAGACCTGAGCGTAGTGCAGGGCGGAGCCAGTGAGCAGCGCACTCCCTTCTGTTGCAATCCACACGTTGTTGGCAGAGAACAGACCCAACCTGTTCGCTGCACATGCACGCACATACAACGGAAGGAGGCAGGCAGACAGGGGGGAAGACGGACACCAGCAGAGGAAGGTGGAGGCGGCAGGGGAGGGAGGTGGGGAAACAATGAAAACCCTCTTCCTCACTCACTCACACTTTCTCCCCTCAGTCACTCACACTTTCTCCCACTAAGTACCTCACTCGCTCTCCCCCTCTCTAACATACAAACTCTCTTCAACGCACCAGCAAGCATAACCGCCGTGGCAACACGCCCGCAGCCATATCCACCTCCAACAGCACCTGCAGGCGCTGCTACTGCGTGAAATGAGACGAGTTCTAAGCGACTCACGCGAATCCACACGCACCTGCCAGGATGACGCTCGTGGCAACAGCAGCAGAGGCGTGCAGCACGTACACAGCCGTGTCCACCTCTAGTAGCAGCTGCAGATGCTGCTCCAACTCCTTTGAGTCGACTCAAAAGCAGCTGCAGATATGAGGCAACGCTACATGAGAGGTGATTACTGAGGCGCCTCAAGAATCCACACGCACCTGCCAGAATGACGGAAGTGGCAACAGCAGCAGAGGCGTGCAGCACATACACAGCCGTGTCCACCTCCAGGAGCAGCTGCAGATGCTGCTCCACCTCTACTGCCGTGCTCCCTGGAGTGATGGCCACGCGATGAGCCATGCTGATGCCTTGCTGGGGATCAGGAGGGGGGGAGGGTTATGTGGGAGGTGGGGGAGGTGGGGGAGTCGAAAGAGTTGGAAGGGAGAGAGGGCTGGGTTGGAGTGCTGGATGCTCACGTCGGCGCAAGCATGCATGCATGCTTCCAGCTCCATGCTGCCTTTTGAGTTGAGGTGCCTCAAAAGGGCAGGCAGGGATGGGGGACAGGGCAGGGAACGGCCGGGAGATTGGACTGGATGCTATACTGGATTGACGAGCTGCCTTTCGAGAGTTCTCAAAAGGAAATGGATGATGATGCTCACGTTGAGTGCGAGCACGCATGCTTCCAGCGCACAGTCTGGTGCGGGATGGGAGTGTCAGAATCCCAACCACTAGACCATTGGGATAAAAGGGCTTGTTAAGTAGCGGGTCAGTGCGCCCATAACCCCCCAGGACAACGAGCCTGTAACCCTTCCCTATGATCAATCGGGGATCACCAGTGGACCTCTGACACCCCCCCGCACTGGGATGCCCGAAGTGCACACACTGGGATTCGAACCCGAGACGTTCGCTCTGATACCATGTCAGAATCCCAACCACTAGACCATTGGGATAAAAGGGCTTGTTAAGTAGCGGGTCAGTGCGCCCATAACCCCCCAGGACAACGAGCCTGTAACCCTTCCCTAGGATCAATCGGGGATCACCAGTGGACCTCTGACAGGGAGTCCATTCCAGCATACGGCATACTTGGTTGAGTTTTTAGAGTTTTCAAAAGATGATGGATAATGATGCTCACGTTGAGGGCGAGCACACATGCTTCCAGTGCAGTGATGCCATTGCCTCCATAGCGGTCGTCGCTGTGAATGGCGATAAATGCCTTCCACTGATATATTGCCAGAATGTCTGTGGTGTTGGGGCAAGGAAGGATGGGCGGATGGGCGGATGTGGCATCAGCAATAAAGATGGCAACGGATGACAACCAGCATTGGAACGCAAGCATAAGAAGAAGGGGGGTGGGTGGGGGGGAGGGTGCTGCTTACTGTGAGCTGTTCAGTAGTAACCAGCAGCTGCAGAGACAAGGCAGTGCAGGAAGATACAGCGGAAGTGGGAGAGCACGAGTTAGTGCAGCGTACCAGCAATGGCGCGCATCTGGTGGCCATCGTGTTTTTTTAGAATTCTCTAAAACACATTGAGACTTCTCAAAAAACACATTGAGAATTCTCAAAAGACACATTCAGCGTACCAGCAATGGCGCGCATCTGGTGGCCGTCGTCCTGTACGGTGCGCATAAAGAAGGGGCGCGTGCCGCCCACAGTGAGCTGGGCGTCCGTGGCAGAGGCAGACACGAAGGGCACTTGAGTGGTCGTGGCGAACGGGCTCACCAGCGCTGCCTGCTCCGATGTGTGCGGCCCTATCACCGCCACCGGCCGCTGCCGTACCAGACTGTAGGCTGGTGGGACCAAGGGGAGGAGGGAGGGGGGGTTGGCGAGCGGGGGTATCACATTGAGTTTTGCGACGCCTCAAAGCGAGTGGCCGTGGCGAATGGGCTCACCAGCACTGCCTGCTCCGATGTGTGCGGCTTTTGAGGCGCCTCAAAAGTCACCCTGACTCATGTTTCGAAGGGCTGCAGTAGTAGAGAGGACGCTTAAGCAAAGGAATCAAACAGTAAAAACTGGTGAAAAAAACGCAGATCTGAAAAACCCTTAGCTTCCGAAAAGCCTCCTTGCGTAAACTAGTTTCAGCGGATGGGCGAACCCAATCACGCCTTCATCAGTACAGCACAATTCGGAATTTTGAGGCGCCTCAAAAGTCGTCTCATGTGCGGCCCTATCACCGCAACTGGCCTCTGCCTCACCAGGCTGTATGCTGTGGGGGGGTGGGCAGGGGGTTGGTGGAGATTTATCTTAATGAGGGAACAGGCAGGGACGATATGGGTGGGAGTGAGGGAGGAGGATCATTGCCACTGGATGCTGTAGCACCAGGCTGAAGGCTGAGGGTATGCTATTCCATAGGAGGGGAGAGGGAGCACAGAGGGGGAAAGAGAACAAAGGTGAATCTGTGAGGCGCATAATGCTCCTGCCATAGTGCCATGCCTCTCACCGGCCATAATGTAGCCATGCCTCCCACCTGCCATCGTGCAGCCATGCCTCTCACCTGCCATCATGCATCCGTCCCTCACTCACTGGCCATCATGCTGGCGATGGGAGCAGTCATGGAGTAGTTGGTCGTGGCGAGGCTTAGGGTTATGGCAGCATGCTGCCATCCCTCTCTCACTCACCTAGCAGCATGCTGCCATGCCATGCCTCTCACCTGCCATCACGCCATGCCTCTCACCTGCCATCATGCTGGCGATGGGAGCAGTCATGGAGTAGTTGGCCGTGGCGAGGTGCAGACGGTGGTGTGGGAGAATGGAAGGGTCGCTGTTGATTGCCTCCACTGCCATCACACTGCCTGCATGCATGAGAGGGCAGTGTATTCACATCACATGGTCACATCACATGGTCACATCACACGCAAGCATGCACCATGCATGCATGGACATGCACCATGCACATGCAGGCATGCACGCACATGCATGCATGCACCATGCCCATGCACATCCACATGAAGGCATACACACATGCAGGTATGCGCACAGCAGAGGCACAGCAAGGGAGAAGTGCAAACACGCCAAAAACAAACAAACTGTTGCTGTAAAACCACAATGATTAAAGCCCGACTTCAGCATAGGTGCCTTGGTTTTACACATGTGCACCCAACAGAGATGCATGCGGCAGTGATTCTTATCTTATCATCCTGCCTCACTGATCCTGTCAACCCAGTCAATCCACCTCCATAGAACCCTCAATCACCCAGTCACCCCATTTTCCTACACCTCTCGGTAAACCCAATCCACTAAATTTCCTGGACCCCTCAGTCAACCCAGTCAAACCATCATCCCGGGCCCTCAGTCAACCCAGTCAAACCATCATCCCGGGCCCTCAGTCAACCCAGTCGACTAACCTTCCCGGATCTTCAGTCTACTCAGTCAACCGCCTTCTTAGACCCCTCAGCCAATCAAGTCAGCCCATCTTTCTGGACACCTCAGTCTACTCAGTCAACCCTCCTTCCTGGACCCTCAGCCAACCCGCCTTCCTGGACCCTCAGCCAACCCATTCGGACCAGTCAACGCAGTCAACACACCTGCGAGCATATGAATGCCTTCAGCGACGTCCGTTGCGACGAGGCACCCAATCGTCACCTCATGCTCTTTCGTGAGCGACTCTTGAGAACTCTCGGAAACCCTCCTGGACCTTACTCCACTGACGGGTTTCGACTTCGACGCATCCCCGTTATAAGTCAGCTCGCTACTAGACACACTGTTGGACGAACTAGTAGGAGCAGATTGAACAGACGAAATTCCAGCAAATGCATTAGTACCCGTCGAGCTGATATCGTCGGTGGTTAAAGCACCAAATGTTTTAGGAGCTTCTATATTATTGTCAGAAGTTAATAAGGCACTCAACCGGCGGGAAATGGATACGGGTTGCTCGGCATCCGCGACTGCCGGATCGCTCGTGCGATTCAGGCATCGTACGAATGATGACGCGTCAGCCCGAAGCTCAATATGGGGTTTTTTTCGACCTGGTGACGACGCAACAGGTCCACAGCAGAAGCTCAGTGCGAGGAGAATGCATCGCGTGAGAATAAACCACCTACGGGAATCCATCCTGTATGTACATAACTGGCTTTTATTCGTGAGGGGAAGGGGAATTCATTCGTTAACGCCAGTGTAACCCATAGGCGGTCGTCCACGGCGAGTATCGTTAACGCTAAAATCTTCCGTCAATGGCTCGGTTCGCATGGAGTACTAAGTCGCGCTTTCCATCCCTCTTTGGCAAAAAAGTGACGAAGCGGCTTGGACTTCTGACGACGGTGGAGATTGGTGGCCATAAAGCTAACCTTGCTTCGCCGCAATCGCGGAAATTAAACAAAGCTCGGACACCATCGCAACCGGTATATCGGTTGGTCCACACTGCGAGTGCCAGTGTTGTGCTGGTATTGGATCAGGAACCACTGGCTAGCTGCTACGATGGCCCTCAAGTATTTATGCTGCTGAGTGTCCGATGGTTTTGCCGATTCCTCCTGTCAGTCCACGATTGCCACTGTCAAACCTGCCTTCGTGTGCCTGCAGAAATGCGTTGTTCCCGTTACAAGATTGCCACGCTCGACAAAATGGCTTTGTCTCCGTAGGCATTTGTTGCTTTATTTCATTTTGTTGCTCGGGCCAAAAGTTCTGGAAACGCTTTAAATCGTACTGCACTGTACAGTAACAATATAAACCGCAAAGTGTGCTGGGCACCCGCCAAAGCCAGAGATTCCACCCACAACCTATTTCGACCCACTTCTGGCTGTGTAATCACGATTACAAGATTGCCACATGAATGCAACTTAGGAGCCTAACACGCCTCTATACTAATGCCATGCATAGCGACAAGGAAAAATCACCGCTGGTGCTCTTCGTGAAGCACGCTTAGTTTTGTTTTCCTCCCTCCAGCAGAACTAAATATTCCACACTTTGCGCTGGATTCCCCCGGTCGTGTTTCGATAGTGTCACGGGCATGGCGCTCCCTGGGGTTATGCGGAGGTCGATCCGGCGATTAAAGGACCCGTTACAGTCACAATTCGTCGGTCTGATCGCGTCTTTGAGGTCGCACATTGTCGGTCCCATCCTGGGCGATGCTGACGTCAGCAGCTCGCAACGCGAGCCCGTTCAGTGCGCCGTCCGTCACGATTTCCGTCCAGACTCGTTTCTTTCTGATTCGTCCGACAGCACCCCGCCCGTTGCATCCGGATCCTCGTCTGATCCTTCGGTCAGAGGCATCCCTGATCTAAGATCCAAATATATATCTACGGTTCAGATTCTTCCAGATTCGCGAAATCTGACCCACAAGTCTTTCCGCGTTCATCCACCCTTCAGGGTCTTCGATAGCCACCCTTCGTTACAGTCTCCTCCCACACAGTACGTGTCCAAACATACACACTGGAGACAAGAGGACGAGGAGAGAGGAGCATTAGAACACCACGGTTCCACCAATGCACTTGGACCTACTAGACCAGCACAGTTACCTAGATCAGGCTCGTTTGTCACTCTTGCGCAGTACCACCCGGCTAGGACACAAGTTTGCACTTTGCAAGGGCTGTCCCCTGGCCTTCCAAGACTCGCCAGCAGCACCTCTGAAAGCAGCAACAGTGATGGCCGTACAGCTGGGAACGAGTGCACGAACAGCAATGCCAGCAGGAGAAGCAGAAGTAGTGACAGCACCAGCAGCACCAGCCTCACCAGCAGCAGCGCCAGCAGCAGCTCCAGCAGCACCAGCAGCACCAACAGCGGCGGCGGGGTTGGGAGTGCATCGTGGGTGGAGGAGTATCTGCCCGCCTCAGTGCAGCCGTTCGCCCACCTCGCCCGCCTGGACAAACCCACTGGCACCTGGCTGCTCGCCTGGCCCTGCTTCTGGTGCGTGCACTGTGCTCGTGAGGAATATTTGCAAAAAAAAAGGTCTTAAAATAATGTGATGATCCTACAATGCCTCTTGAAAATCCACTGCCACCTGGCTCCTCGCCTGGCCCTGCTTCTGGTGAGCTCGCTTCTATCCACCCTCCCCTCCCGCTCGTCCCTTTCCTGTGCAGCTCAATCGAGCTGGCCGCTCCAGCAGCCTCTCTACCCGACCCAGCTCTTATCTTTAGCTTCGATTCAGGCGAATTTACTCAGAGGCGGGCTGCACCATGAACGACCTGCCGCTCTGACAGTCAATGCCAACAATTTCCAAAGCTCTTGCTTCCTGATCTCTCCCGGCCCATCCCCCACTCATCTCTTCCCCCTCACAAGCTCTCTCCAACCCATCCCGCCGCCTTCTCCTCCTCCCCTTTAGGTCCATCGCCCTTGCTGCACCAGCAGGCGCTCTACCCGACCCAACCCTTCTCTTTCTCTTCGGGTCAGGCGCCGTGTTGCTCCGAGGCGCCGGCTGCACCATCAACGACCTGCTGGACCAGGACTTTGATGCCAAGGTGGCTCGTACCAGGTCCCGGCCTCTGCCCTCCGGTGCTGTTACTCCCTTGGGAGCAACAGCTTTCTTAGGGTTTCAGCTGCTGCTGGGCCTGGGTGTACTCGTGCAGCTGAATACCTACAGGTGAGTCGGGGAATCAATGCGTTTTTTTTCCTGCTGTTTCGTTCTGTCACTTGTATGGTTGGCTCGAATCAAAGCTGGCTGCTGCACTGCACCATCAACGACCTGCTGGTCCGGGACTTTGATGCCAAGGTGGCTCGGACGCATGCGCTCCCACCTTCTGCTGTCGGGTGCCGTCACCCCCTTGGTTGAGTCATTCTGGTGTTTGACGTCAAAGATTGCTGGCTGCCGGCTGCACCATCAACGACCTGCTGGTCCAGGACTTTGATGCCAAGGTGGCTGGGCCCTCAATCAGTCCCTCCATCTCGCTCAGGTGTGCCTTCCATTCACATGCAGCAAAGCTATCTTGGCGCCTCAATAACACGCTCTCTCATGTGGCCCCCATTGTACCCTCCCATCACATGTGCCCTGTGCCTTCCATCGCATGTGCCCTGTGCCTTCCATCGCATGTGCCCTGTGCCTTCCATCGCATGTGCCCTGTGCCTTCCATCGCATGTGCCCTGTGCCTTCCATCGCATGTGCCCTGTGCCTTCCATCGCATGTGCCCTGTGCCTTCCATCGCATGTGCCCTGTGCCTCCCATCGCATGTGCCCTGTGCCTTCCATGCTCATGCAGTCAAGTGCTGGGAGTGGCATCACTGCCCCTTGTCTTCTCCTACCCCCTCATGAAGCGCTTTACTCACTGGGTAAGGGTTTGCAGCTGATCCTCCTCCTTCAGTTTGATCTTAAGCCTTGCAAGCAAGCCTCAAGATGGTGAATGCAAGTATCACAAAGCCCTTTGCTATCAAGATGGTGAATGCAAGTATCACAAAGCCCTTTGCTATCAAGATGGTGAATGCAAGTATCACAAAGCCCTTTGCTATCAAGATGGTGAATGCAAGTATCGCAAAGCCCTTTGCTATCAAGATGGTGAATGCAAGTATCGCAAAGCCCTTTGCTATCAAGATGGTGAATGCAAGTATCACAAAACCCTTTGCTATCAAGATGGTGAATGCAAGTATCACAAAGCCCTTTGCTATCAAGATGGTGAATGCAAGTATCACAAAGCCCTTTGCTATCAAGATGGTGAATGCAAGTATCGCAAAGCCCTTTGCTATCAAGATGGTGAATGCAAGTATCACAAAGCCCTTTGCTATCAAGATGGTGAATGCAAGTATCGCAAAGCCCTTTGCTATCAAGATGGTGAATGCAAGTATCGCAAAGCCCTTTGCTATCAAGATGGTGAATGCAAGTATCACAAAGCCCTTTGCTATCAAGATGGTGAATGCAAGTATCGCAAAGCCCTTTGCTATCAAGATGGTGAATGCAAGTATCACAAAGCCCTTTGCTATCAAGATGGTGAATGCAAGTATCACAAAGCCCTTTGCTATCAAGATGGTGAATGCAAGTATCGCAAAGCCCTTTGCTATCAAGATGGTGAATGCAAGTATCGCAAAGCCCTTTGCTATCAAGATGGTGAATGCAAGTATCACAAAGCCCTTTGCTATCAAGATGGTGAATGCAAGTATCACAAAGCCCTTTGCTATCAAGATGGTGAATGCAAGTATCACAAAGCCCTTTGCTATCAAGATGGTGAATGCAAGTATCACAAAGCCCTTTGCTATCAAGATGGTGAATGCAAGTATCACAAAGCCCTTTGCTATCAAGATGGTGAATGCAAGTATCGCAAAGCCCTTTGCTATCAAGATGGTGAATGCAAGTATCACAAAGCCCTTTGCTATCAAGATGGTGAATGCAAGTATCGCAAAGCCCTTTGCTATCAAGATGGTGAATGCAAGTATCGCAAAGCCCTTTGCTATCAAGATGGTGAATGCAAGTATCACAAAGCCCTTTGCTATCAAGATGGTGAATGCAAGTATCGCAAAGCCCTTTGCTATCAAGATGGTGAATGCAAGTATCGCAAAGCCCTTTGCTATCAAGATGGTGAATGCAAGTATCACAAAGCCCTTTGCTATCAAGATGGTGAATGCAAGTATCGCAAAGCCCTTTGCTATCAAGATGGTGAATGCAAGTATCGCAAAGCCCTTTGCTATCAAGATGGTGAATGCAAGTATCACAAAGCCCTTTGCTATCAAGATGGTGAATGCAAGTATCACAAAGCCCTTTGCTATCAAGATGGTGAATGCAAGTATCACAAAGCCCTTTGCTATCAAGATGGTGAATGCAAGTATCGCAAAGCCCTTTGCTATCAAGATGGTGAATGCAAGTATCCCAAAGCCCTTTGCTATCAAGATGGTGAATGCAAGTATCGCAAAGCCCTTTGCTATCAAGATGGTGAATGCAAGTATCGCAAAGCCCTTTGCTATCAAGATGGTGAATGCAAGTATCGCAAAGCCCTTTGCTATCAAGATGGTGAATGCAAGTATCACAAAGCCCTTTGCTATCAAGATGGTGAATGCAAGTATCGCAAAGCCCTTTGCTATCAAGATGGTGAATGCAAGTATCGCAAAGCCCTTTGCTATCAAGATGGTGAATGCAAGTATCACAAAGCCCTTTGCTATCAAGATGGTGAATGCAAGTATCACAAAGCCCTTTGCTATCAAGATGGTGAATGCAAGTATCACAAAGCCCTTTGCTATCAAGATGGTGAATGCAAGTATCGCAAAGCCCTTTGCTATCAAGATGGTGAATGCAAGTATCCCAAAGCCCTTTGCTATCAAGATGGTGAATGCAAGTATCGCAAAGCCCTTTGCTATCAAGATGGTGAATGCAAGTATCGCAAAGCCCTTTGCTATCAAGATGGTGAATGCAAGTATCGCAAAGCCCTTTGCTATCAAGATGGTGAATGCAAGTATCACAAAGCCCTTTGCTATCAAGATGGTGAATGCAAGTATCGCAAAGCCCTTTGCTATCAAGATGGTGAATGCAAGTATCGCAAAGCCCTTTGCTATCAAGATGGTGAATGCAAGTATCACAAAGCCCTTTGCTATCAAGATGGTGAATGCAAGTATCGCAAAGCCCTTTGCTATCAAGATGGTGAATGCAAGTATCGCAAAGCCCTTTGCTATCAAGATGGTGAATGCAAGTATCACAAAGCCCTTTGCTATCAAGATGGTGAATGCAAGTATCGCAAAGCCCTTTGCTATCAAGATGGTGAATGCAAGTATCGCAAAGCCCTTTGCTATCAAGATGGTGAATGCAAGTATCACAAAGCCCTTTGCTATCAAGATGGTGAATGCAAGTATCACAAAGCCCTTTGCTATCAAGATGGTGAATGCAAGTATCGCAAAGCCCTTTGCTATCAAGATGGTGAATGCAAGTATCGCAAAGCCCTTTGCTATCAAGATGGTGAATGCAAGTATCACAAAGCCCTTTGCTATCAAGATGGTGAATGCAAGTATCGCAAAGCCCTTTGCTATCAAGATGGTGAATGCAAGTATCGCAAAGCCCTTTGCTATCAAGATGGTGAATGCAAGTATCGCAAAGCCCTTTGCTATCAAGATGGTGAATGCAAGTATCGCAAAGCCCTTTGCTATCAAGATGGTGAATGCAAGTATCGCAAAGCCCTTTGCTATCAAGATGGTGAATGCAAGTATCGCAAAGCCCTTTGCTATCAAGATGGGAAACGTGTCGTTCTCTCTGCCTGTAGCTTTGCTCCTTCCATCCCCTCTCATGCCCGCTCATCTGCTTTCATCCCCTCTCGTGCTCTGTCATCCCCTCCTCTCCGTTTTCCTTCCACATGCAGCCTCTAGCATATCTCGTTATTGTGTAAAACTGGGGATTCTTTAGTCTCTGCAAAAGTTGTCTCATTTCCTCCTCTCCGTTTCCTACCCACGCTCTCTGTTCCCCCCACACCCAGCCTCAGGCCTATCTCGGTCTTGTCTTCAACTGGGGTGCTCTCCTGGGCTGGGCGGCAGTGCATGGCTCGCTGCACCTGCCAGCTGTGCTACCCCTCTACATGGGCGGCATCTGTTGGACGCTAGTGTATGACACAATCTATGCGCACCAGGTAAGGAAAAGGCTGAATTCGTCACAGCAGGGGTCAAGTCCACAGCCCTGCTCTTCGCCCATCGCATGCAGCTCTACCTCTCCCACAGCTCGTGCAGGGCATGCCCTGTGTGCTTCAGCCCACCCCTGCGCTCCATGTATCCCGTCCACTCCATGCATGCTATGCTCTCTCCCAGGACAAGGCGGATGACATCACTGCAGGCGTCAAGTCCACAGCGCTGCTCTTCGCTCATCGCACGCCCCTCTACCTCTCCCTCTTCAGCGCAGCTGCCATCACCAGCCTTGCTGCTGCCGGCTCTGCTGTCAACCTTGGTACTCACTAGCCCTGGTAGTCCCGACTGTCTTGAATGATCCGTTCCTGACTGTCTGGAATACTCCTATCTCTGTTTTTTGCACTGCTCCTCCTCTCTAGCTTCCCACTTTGCTCCAGCATTCGAACCTTTCTGTTACCGACTGCCTTGATGTTGCCTTTCCCTGCAACCATCCTTCCTCTGCTGCTGCCTTCCCTTTGCTTTCATTTGCTGTGGTTCGTTGCTAGAACTCCTTGCATTGCCGCCCCTCACAATCCACTTTCTCACGTCCCCCTCCTGTTTTCGTGTTGCAGGCTCCCCATTCTATGCCTCGCTAGCAGCAGCAGCAGCACACATGGCATGGCAGATAGCCTCTACAAATTTCGACAGCCGGGAGGACTGCTACTCCAAGTGAGTCGTCTCCACCATTGAGCCAACCCTAACTTCTCGTCTTAACCGACCCTTCCCCACCCCACCCTTCCACGCACCCAAATCTAGAGGGGGAGAGGGGGGGGGGGGACAAAAAGCGAAAGCAAAGAACGAAACAAAACAAAGAGACTTGAGAACTGGTCGCATCAGCACACATGGCATGGCAGGTTGCCTCCTTGACTTACAACAGCCGGGAGGCCTGCTGCTACTCCAAGTAAGTTGCCTCTACCATTGAGTCAACCTCACAGTTTTTTTAGGCGCCTCAAAATTCGTTTCTGAGGCGCCTCAAAATAAGGGCTGCTACTCCAAGTGAGTCATCAGCACTTTTGAGTCAACTCCACAGATAGGTGTGCCGGCTTGTCCATCCTTGTTGTTAGAGCATGCACACATATGGTTGAGCCAACTGTGCAACCAACCAAGGTTGTATGCTAGTAAAGGAACATTCCTGTGTGGACACAAGTGTCTCAATCACTTTGTGACACCCAAAAACAACATAAACTGTATTGTGTCCCAAATGTGAGTCGCCTTTCAGTGACCGTTACTGCATTTTTCATTGGCCAGCGTGAAACGCGCTGACGTCGCTGACGAATTGCAAATCGGCCCGTCATTGTTAAAAAATCGCACGCGACTCGAAATGCCCGACACGACCACATGCACCTGGACACCCGACAATGCCAAATTCGCGAGGGAAAAAATCCCGCGCATCGAAACCACGCCCCTGCCCGGCAGTTGAAGGAACAGGTGTACAGTCGTTTGTGTCACCCAATCAAATGCGCACAACTGTACATTTCGCCTGGTCGCCTAGTGTCGCGATACATTCAATTTTTGTGACGTGAGGTTGACAAAATGTTTCGACGCGACTCGGGATTAAGGGCATTGAGACACTTGTGTCCACACAGGAATGTTCCCTAATTGAAAGTGGAGATTTGCTAGGCGTGCGCTGATCAAGAAAAACTCCCTGCCTCTCCTTTGATATGGTATGCTCCTTTCTCTCCCTTGATCCCATCTTCCCTTCCAGGTTTGCTTCTAACTGGACTTTCGGTGCTCTGGTCTTTGCTGGTATTGTGGCTGGCAAGCTCGTTGGTGTGTAGCCTGGGAATCTGAGTCTGCTGGTAGCTTATGCAGCCAGAAGGCGTCTGTTGCGTAGCAAAACGTTACCGGACTGTAGATTGGGGAAGATTGATTTAATGTCTTTGATGTTAGGCATCATCCTTATTGTAAAGCCAAGTATCAGGCCCTCTGGTTCCTTCTTGGCAATGCTGATCCATGGGTGGGAGAATAACGCCCACTGGCGGGGCGTGGGAATGGGATGGGGGCCTGGGAGAGAGTGGCACAGCCACACAGGTAATAAGGATGTCCGGAAGGTGACAACAAGAGTAAAAGAGGGATGCGATAGTGGCGTAGCGAGAAGAGGAGGGAAGGGCTGCTACATTACTGTCTGTTGTAAGCAGGTTTGTTACAGCATACGGGGGTGCTGTGATCGTTTGTGAGGTGGGGAGAGGGTAATGGGCAACTCAACAAGATTTCGTGGAGTACCTTAGTTGTAAGATCAATGTACTCATACTATATGGTAGTTACATCTACGTATAGAGTATACTCTGAGCTTCGTGGACCCTTACGCTCCATAGAAAGTGGTGGTGGTGGTGGGTCTTTGTGTAGCAACAATATTGGGGTTTAATAAATACGTCAATATTATCTCCGTAGAGCTGCATGGGTGTTTGATATATACTTTGTGGAAATTTCCACATAAGGACCCTCGTGAGGATAATGTGGAGCAATCAGAAGTCAGATGTTTATTACAAGCACATATGCGCAAAAACGTTTGCGACTAGTTCGATTTGAAGGTGTACTTTGTCACTGGTCTTAATTTGAGGAACTCCTAACGATGATTCCAAGCCATCCCGTCACCTGTCACCTGCGATCTGGAGAAGATGGTGGGCTATCGTGTGAAAACATCCCGATTTCTCGAACTCTGCCGAAAAAGTATAGTCGCATCCGTGTTTGAGAGTTCGATTCCAGCTTTTTACTTCTGTGCACTCGCTGAGAGAGTCCCTTCTCGAAAAACCAGATGAACAGAATGGATCTGAAAGTTCATTCACATACATTTGCTTCAGGGTGGTCTTTCAACCCGACATCATTCCCAACCCAGCCCCGCTATTCTCAAGGGGACACTGCCGTTGTTCCCAAGGGCGATTTCGTTGCCCTCCACCTGCACCTGCACCACCTCGGATTGTTACTGTGCAATCATGTTCGAAGGTCCATGGCAGTTTAGGGGTGACTGTACAGCCGTTGATGTGCCTAGCGGTTGTTGCTTCGGTGTGTACTCGCTAGCTCTGACGACGTCCTAACGCGTTTTTCGCCATCGCTTAGCAATGGCGAGGCTCGACGGCTCGTTAGGTCAGATAATGTCCGACACCCGCGCGCCCATTACTCAAGAGTCGATGACAATGACAGGTCTCAGACCTGTCCATTCGCAATGACGACTCTCACCCTCCTTACCACTTCCGAATAATAATTGGCGGGTGTCAAACCTCTTTTACAACGTTTGTACCTCTGTCCGAGAGCAAAGCCTAGCTACTCAGCGTGAAACAGAACTATTGGCCGTCATCTAAAAAAACACCCAAGGAAACTGACGGGGTTGTCTTGAGATACTACCTCTAGGCCCATTCCCGTGTCCAATCCAGCGCCCATCCGAAGACTGCCTGAAGTGCGTCCGTCGTTCCATCACCAACCCTCAGCCAGCTGACGTTTGCAAAGCCCATGTCGGAGTCGCTCGCCGATTACTAACGGAAACTGACGGACTTTTTTCGAATAAGTCCGGCCGTCGGCCCGTCACCAACACTCAGGAAGCCGGCGTTGAAATCGTCACCCGAGCTCAGTTAGCCAGGAACCGTGGCGGGTCGTTCGTTGATCACTGACGGAGACGTCTAGACGTCTACAAAATCGCTCGTTAATTACTGACGAAAACTGATCTGAGTGTTTTCAAGACCCACAGCCCCCTCCCCAGGGCACCCAGTATACACCACCATAGTTCGGATAGCCAGCCAGCAGCGCGCCGGTGAATCGGATAGAGGGGTGAGGGGGGGGGGGAAGAGAGGGGAGGAGTGATTCGGTGATTGCGAGCGGAGAGTGACGGCATTACAAAGGATACGTCCTCTCGTTGATCCATCGCCGGAGATTAGCCTAGCGAGGAACACATCGGTCCGTTCACTCGGGACCATGGCGGGGTCGTTCGACGACCCGGATTTAGCGGTGGAGGACTACATTCCCAAGGACAAGGATGGTGCGTTCAATCTTGGCCGTACGTTCCCATTAAAAGCCGTTTCCGTGCATGATGATTTATAACCGTAGATCAGCCGACCACCGGATTGAGCGGTGGAGGACTTCATTCCCAAGGACAAGGATGGTGCGTTTGGCGAAAACCCAGACCAATGCATCGTATTTAAACTGTATAGTTTACTTGCTGATCCAGCTCAAGTGCGAGAAAGTGCGAGCCACGCTGGGCAGTGGAGGACTGCATTCCCAAGGACAAGGAACGTGCGTTGAATCCAAGCATGACGCTATTTTCGATCTATTTCTTCGTGTGAGATTTCCTGACAGGAAAGGACCGTTTCCCCCACTCCCCTCTCCCCCCCCCTCCTCCTCGGCCCTCCCTCCCTTCAAGCAGACATGCAGCTGATGCGCGCGCGGTGGTGTAAGCTGCGCTGGGAGACAAGTTGTGCGCTCAAATGCCTGTTACATGGAACTCCGTGACTTCAAGTAATCGTTCCCAACCCTCCCCCCTCCCCATGCAGACATGCAGCTGAGGCGCGAGCGGTGGTCCAAGCTGCTATTGGGGCCGGCAGCTTGTAAGCTCAATTCCCTTTTACATGGAACTCCATGACTTTGTTATGATTCCAACCCCTCCCCCTCTCCTTCCCCCTCCCCCTCCATCTCTCCTCATCCAGACATGCAGCTGATGCGCGAGCGATGGTCCAAGCTGCTGCTGGGAGACGACCCATCTGGGGGGGCCAAGGGGTGCGGCCCTGCTCTTGCCATGGCCAATGCGATAACCAGCGTCTCAGGTACGCCATTAGGGGTTCAAGCGATTCAGGTACTCTGTTAAGGTTTCTGGTATTATTTTTGGGTTTCAGGTACACTGCTAGGGTTTCAGGTATGATGTTAGGGTTTCAGGTACGCTGTTAGGGTTTCAGGTACGCTGTTAGGGTTTCAGGTGCGCTGTTAGGGTTTCAAGTACTCTGTTAGGGTTCCAAGTACGCTGTTAGGGTTCCAAGTACGCTGTTAGGGTCTCAAGGACGAGCTCTCTTGTTCCGACCTTTACATTTCCTTCCATCATTGTCCTCCTCTTCCCCTTCTCCCCGTTCCTCCCCGTCCCCCCCACTTCCGCATCCATCTCCGAAGGCGGCCTGCAGCTGTAGCTGCTACCAGAGGAGGACGAGCCGAGTGTTACAACCCCTTATCTTCCGCCCTCTCTCTCCCCCACCACACACCTCCCCACACCCCCCTTCCACAGCATCTATCTTTGGGGATGGCCTGCGGCTGCGGCCACTTCGGGAAAAAAGACGAGGTCTTGTGCCACAACCCCTCATTGACTCCTCCACCCTCCCATTTACACCGCCTCCCCACACCTACTCCCTTTCCACTTTTGCAGCATCCATCTTTGGAGATGGGTTGCGGTTGCGGCCGCTGCCAGAGGAGGACCAGCCTCTCTTGCCACAACCCCTCACTGACTCTTGCACCCTTCCCCTTACGCCACCTCCCCACGCCCCCCTTTCCCAGCATCCATCTTTGGGGACGGGCTGAGGTTGCGGCCGCTGCCAGAGGAGGACGAGCGCAAGTGGCGGAGGGAGATGGGCATCATGGTGTCGGTGTGCCGTCACATCGTGGAGCTGGCACCCGCTTGGACCACTCGCCCTGATGGCAGCAGATTCGAGGTGAGGAGGGGAGACAGGGGCAGGGACAGGGGCGGGCAGATGTGGTGGGGAAGGGTGGCAGGGGCGATGGGGGAAGGGGACGGGAGGGAGATGGGCATCATGGTGTCGGTGTGTCGACACATCGTGGAGCTGACGCCTGCTTGGACCACTCGCCCCGATGGCAGCAGATTCGAGGTGTGTGGAGGGGGGACATGATTGAGGGTCAGGGGCAGTACAGGGGCAGTACAGGGGCAGTACAGGGGCAGTACAGGGGCAGTACAGGGGCAGTACAGGGGCAGTACAGGGGCAGTACAGGGGCAGTACAGGGGCAGTACAGGGGCAGTACAGGGGCAGTACAGGGGCAGTACAGGGGCAGTACAGGGGCAGTACAGGGGCAGTACAGGGGCAGTACAGGGGCAGTACAGGGGCAGTACAGGGGCAGTACAGGGGCAGTACAGGGGCAGTACAGGGGCAGTACAGGGGCAGTACAGGGGCAGTACAGGGGCAGTACAGGGGCAGTACAGGGGCAGTACAGGGGCAGTACAGGGGCAGTACAGGGGCAGTACAGGGGCAGTACAGGGGCAGTACAGGGGCAGTACAGGGCAGTACAGGGGCAGTACAGGGGCAGTACAGGGGCAGTACAGGGGCAGTACAGGGGCAGTACAGGGGCAGTACAGGGGCAGTACAGGGGCAGTACAGGGGCAGTACAGGGGCAGTACAGGGGCAGTACAGGGGCAGTACAGGGGCAGTACAGGGGCAGTACAGGGGCAGTACAGGGGCAGTACAGGGGCAGTACAGGGGCAGTACAGGGGCAGTACAGGGGCAGTACAGGGGCAGTACAGGGGCAGTACAGGGGCAGTACAGGGGCAGTACAGGGGCAGTACAGGGGCAGTACAGGGGCAGTACAGGGGCAGTACAGGGGCAGTACAGGGGCAGTACAGGGGCAGTACAGGGGCAGTACAGGGGCAGTACAGGGGCAGTACAGGGGCAGTACAGGGGCAGTACAGGGGCAGTACAGGGGCAGTACAGGGGCAGTACAGGGGCAGTACAGGGGCAGTACAGGGGCAGTACAGGGGCAGTACAGGGGCAGTACAGGGGCAGTACAGGGGCAGTACAGGGGCAGTACAGGGGCAGTACAGGGGCAGTACAGGGCAGTACAGGGGCAGTACAGGGGCAGTACAGGGGCAGTACAGGGGCAGTACAGGGGCAGTACAGGGGCAGTACAGGGGCAGTACAGGGGCAGTACAGGGGCAGTACAGGGGCAGTACAGGGGCAGTACAGGGGCAGTACAGGGGCAGTACAGGGGCAGTACAGGGGCAGTACAGGGGCAGTACAGGGGCAGTACAGGGGCAGTACAGGGGCAGTACAGGGGCAGTACAGGGGCAGTACAGGGGCAGTACAGGGGCAGTACAGGGGCAGTACAGGGGCAGTACAGGGGCAGTACAGGGGCAGTACAGGGGCAGTACAGGGGCAGTACAGGGGCAGTACAGGGGCAGTACAGGGGCAGTACAGGGGCAGTACAGGGGCAGTACAGGGGCAGTACAGGGGCAGTACAGGGGCAGTACAGGGGCAGTACAGGGGCAGTACAGGGGCAGTACAGGGGCAGTACAGGGGCAGTACAGGGGCAGTACAGGGGCAGTACAGGGGCAGTACAGGGGCAGTACAGGGGCAGTACAGGGGCAGTACAGGGGCAGTACAGGGGCAGTACAGGGGCAGTACAGGGGCAGTACAGGGGCAGTACAGGGGCAGTACAGGGGCAGTACAGGGGCAGTACAGGGGCAGTACAGGGGCAGTACAGGGGCAGTACAGGGGCAGTACAGGGGCAGTACAGGGGCAGTACAGGGGCAGTACAGGGGCAGTACAGGGGCAGTACAGGGGCAGTACAGGGGCAGTACAGGGGCAGTACAGGGGCAGTACAGGGGCAGTACAGGGGCAGTACAGGGGCAGTACAGGGGCAGTACAGGGGCAGTACAGGGGCAGTACAGGGGCAGTACAGGGGCAGTACAGGGGCAGTACAGGGGCAGTACAGGGGCAGTACAGGGGCAGTACAGGGGCAGTACAGGGGCAGTACAGGGGCAGTACAGGGGCAGTACAGGGGCAGTACAGGGGCAGTACAGGGGCAGTACAGGGGCAGTACAGGGGCAGTACAGGGGCAGTACAGGGGCAGTACAGGGGCAGTACAGGGGCAGTACAGGGGCAGTACAGGGGCAGTACAGGGGCAGTACAGGGGCAGTACAGGGGCAGTACAGGGGCAGTACAGGGGCAGTACAGGGGCAGTACAGGGGCAGTACAGGGGCAGTACAGGGGCAGTACAGGGGCAGTACAGGGGCAGTACAGGGGCAGTACAGGGGCAGTACAGGGGCAGTACAGGGGCAGTACAGGGGCAGTACAGGGCAGTACAGGGGCAGTACAGGGGCAGTACAGGGGCAGTACAGGGGCAGTACAGGGGCAGTACAGGGGGCAGTACAGGGGCAGTACAGGGGCAGTACAGGGGCAGTACAGGGGCAGTACAGGGGCAGTACAGGGGCAGTACAGGGGCAGTACAGGGGCAGTACAGGGGCAGTACAGGGGCAGTACAGGGGCAGTACAGGGGCAGTACAGGGCAGTACAGGGGCAGTACAGGGGCAGTACAGGGGCAGTACAGGGGCAGTACAGGGGCAGTACAGGGGCAGTACAGGGGCAGTACAGGGGCAGTACAGGGGCAGTACAGGGGCAGTACAGGGGCAGTACAGGGGCAGTACAGGGGCAGTACAGGGGCAGTACAGGGGCAGTACAGGGGCAGTACGAGGGGCAGTACAGGGGCAGTACAGGGGCAGTACAGGGGCAGTACAGGGGCAGTACAGGGGCAGTACAGGGGCAGTACAGGGGCAGTACAGGGGCAGTACAGGGGCAGTACAGGGGCAGTACAGGGGCAGTACAGGGGCAGGGGCGAGTAAGGGGCATCGGCAGGGGAAGGAGTAGGCACCGGGATAGGCAGCGATGGTGGGGAAGTGAGGGTGGAAAGGGCGACGGTGCAAGGGAATGGGAGGGAGATGGGCATCATTTGGTGATGCTTTTTCATTTGGTGCCGTGTTGTGCTGTGCGGTACTGTGCGGTGCTGTGCTGTGCTGGCAGGTGATGCGTCGGAGTGTCCGAGCTGACCTTCGGATTCAGCTGCCGGCGCTCAGCCAGCTCGATACCATGCTGCTGGTAATGCCCCGCCTTCTGGTGTTCTCCTCACTCCCTTTCCCCCGGCATGCACAAGTTCTGGCTCATCTTCAATCCACCTGCTCCTGCAGCATAGCCAACCGGACGAGTTTTACTATATGTGTGCTTGTGCTTTCTTTGTGCTCATACTAATCCCTCCTGCAGAACCAACCCCCCCACCCCGCCTCCCCTCCCCACCCTCCCCTGTTTCCCACCCCCTCCCCGCATCTCTTTTCCCTCACCTTACTCCTCACTTTCCCCCAATCAGACCATCCTGCAGCACAGCCAATCAGACGAGTACTACTACGAGGACGAGCTGCCAGGTGGCGACCTAACACAGGAGGACGGCGAGGAGGAGGACGAGGAAGGAGAGGAGGAGGAAGAGGTTGAGGAGACATTGCGTGGCGACGACGACGACGATGACGACAGGGAGAGCTTTGGAGCCGGCAGCACGGGCGGCAGCAGCAGCGGCATGGGCGGCGGCATGGGCGGCATGGGAGGGTCGGCAGGGGATCTGTACGGCGCACCGGATCGACTAATCAGGCGCAGCGCCACGGCCCCCTCGGAACGGCCTGCGACTCATGCCGGGCCGTATGGGACTGGAGGGATGAGCGGGCGGTTGGGAGGAGTGGGTGGGGATGGTGGGGAGAGGGGGGGTGGGGGGCGACGGGGAGCGAGCCACGGGTCTGCACATAGTTCGGCGCATGGTTCGGCGCATGGTTCGGGGCAAGGTTCGTCGGTTCACGGGTCGTCCACACGAGGGTCTTCAGCGGATGAGGAGGAGGATTTTGCTGATGATGAGGGGCAGTACAGCCAGGGAGGGGAGTTTGACCACAGAGGCACGTTGCACACAGGGAACACAAGAGACACAGGAGACGCGGGAGAGAGGGGCTCAGGACACGGAGTGGACAGGGGCTCAGGGCACTACAGACGGCTCTCCTCCCCTGGGTTCGAGGCAGAGAGGCGCGGTAGTGAAGAGGACCTGATACAGCAGCGGGGCGGAGGAGGGGGAGGAGGGGAGGGCGAGGATGCGTGTAGCAGTGGGAGTAACACGGGGAGCAACGCAGGGAGTAACACGGGCAGCAGGGAGGGGTCGAGTCCGAACCCCGGGTCATCCTGGGGTTTTCATCAGCGGTCCAGCAGCACAGCTGCTCCTGCTGCTCCTGCCTCTTCCTCAGGTGTTCCGTCAGGTGCTTCTCCAGGGTCGGGGGGCAAGCGGCGGGTGTCGTCGCGCTCCTCGAGCTTCAGCTACGACTTTTCGGCGCTTCTAGGGGGTGGAAGGAGCCGCGGCGGCGGCGGATCTGTTGCTGCTGCTGGCGCAGCAGGAGGAGCGTCAGGGGGAGGGACAGGGGCAGGAGGGGGGATCCCTCCCGGTGGCAGCGGTATCATGCGGGGACTCAAACGAAGCGTGACTGATGTGAGGGACAAAAGGTTCATCCCAGAAGGCATGGGCGGCGGAGCCATGGGAGGAATGGGAGGAGGAATCGGGGGAATGGGAGGAGCAGGAGTGGGAGGAGGAGAGGGGGCGGGAGGGGGCCGGCAGGTGTGGCGGTGGAAGATGAAGCCGCGGGTGCGGGGGCCACTGGGGGAGGCGCTGGTGCGGTGGCTGGAGCAGCAGATGGAGAAGACGAGTCAGATCATGAAGCTCGCGATGACCATCAACCAGCAGGTCCTTCAGGACATGCAAGTCCCCGACGCCTTCGTGCAACGCCTCCCCAAGGTACTGCCTGCCCAAGGTAGACCTGCCTGAGGTAGGGCCTTCCTGAGATAAGGCCTCTCATCCCATGGTAAGGCCTCCCATCGCCATGACCATCAACCAGCAGGTCCTTCAGGACATGCAAGTCCCCGACGCCTTCGTGCAGCGCCTCCCCAAGGTAAGACCTCCCTCCCCAAGGTACTGCCTGCCTGAGGTACGACCTGCCTGAGGTATGGCCTGCCTGAGGTACGACCTGCCTGAGGTATGGCCTGCCTGAGGTACGACCTGCCTGAGGTATGGCCTGCCTGAGGTACGACCTGCATGAGGTACGACCTGCCTGAGGTACTGCCTGCCTGAGGTACGGCCTGCCTGAGGTATGGCCTGCCTGAGGTATGGCCTGCCTGGGGTACGACCTGCCTGAGGTACTGCCTGCCTGAGGTACGGCCTCCCCAAGGTACAGCCTTCGCAGGTTAGGGCCTCCCAAGGTAGGGCCTCCCCAAGGTAGGGCCTCTTCAAGGTAGGGCCTCCTCAACGTAGGGCCTCCTCAACGTAGGGCCTCCTCAACGTAGGGCCTCCTCAACGTAGGGCCTCCCTGCCCATGCATGGCAGTACGCGATGGTGGTGGGTTGCCTTCACGTCAACCCCTCCACACATGTCAAACTGCTCTTCTCTCTGATCCACACCCTTCCTTCCACCCCTGCACGCACGCCCACCCATCCACCCCCCCAACCCTCCACCCCCCAACCCCCCGCCTCTCCACCCCTCAACCCTCACCCCTCCCCTCTCTTGTCAGAACGTGAGGGCGGTGGTGGGGACATGGTGTATGCAGTGCTGCACGCCAGCCGCTTCAAATTGACAAGCCACTCCCCACTTTGCTCCCAACCTTCAAGCCAACCAGTACCACCCCACCTCTCCACCCCTCCACTCTTCCCCGCTCCCCACTTCAGAACGTGAGGGCGGTGGTGGGAGACAGGGTGTATGCGGCGCTGCATGCTAATCCCTTCGCGGACGACAAGCTGCTGTCAACGGTGGACCTGTCCAATCAGAAGGCGGCTCTCAAGCTCGCCTGCAAGCTCGAGGCGGCCGAGCAGATCTGGATGCGCCAGCTTGCGCTCGCAAGGTACTGGTGCTGTGCGGTACGATGCAGATTTTTTTCTTCTTCTTCTTCTTCTTTTTCTTCTTTCTTTCTTTCTTTCTTTCTTTCTTTCTTTCTTTCTTTCTTTCTTTCTGGCGACGGCCCTGTTGATCTCACACGCGTGTACTGACACTTCACCTCACATGATCAAGTCCCATGTTCACTCACATGCACTCCAACTGATCTTCCTTGACTTGTGTTGACTCCTCTTGCACTTCTTTGACTGGCATTGACTTGGAATGACCAGGGAACCCCAGCTGAGCCACACGCTGGGCGGCAGTTATTTGTCCACTAGCAGCCGGGACGTGGTGCGATTGGAGGAGAGCCTGCAGCGGGTCTCCTCATGCCTCGCTGCCATCCGCCGCCGATGGCCCGATCTGCCGCAGACCACTCTTGATCTGGCCAAGATCGCATTCAATGGGGTACGTACTCTCAGCACTTCAGAAAATCTATTTTTGCGGCGCCTCAAGGATAGGACCTGGCCAAGGTTGCAGGCAATAGGGTATGTGTTCTTCGCTCTTTGACAAGGATTGTGCTGGAATACGATGAAAGAGGAGAGGAGAGCCTTCACCAGCACGCCTCATCCTGCAAGGGTGATTTCGCCACAAAGGAGCCGGCCTGATAATAACGACAACACCACACTCCACTCTACCACGGTGATTGAATTGAGAATGCATTTCCACCCCACCCCACCCCGCCCGACCCCATCATCCCCACGCATTCAATCACCCATCCCCAACCTACATACTCCATCCCCTCCCATGCTCCCAGGACATCGGCAAGGCGGTCTTAGAGAGCTACTCACGAGTTCTTGAAGGCGCTGCCTCCAACATCCAGTCGCGAATCAGAGACGTGCTGCACGCCAGCTACCTCTTCCTCAACCTATGTTATGCCCCGCGTACCATGCATCCCTTCATGTCCCCCCTGCTAAACCTCTCTTGCTCACCCACCCTCACACACCTCTCCCCTACCCACCCCGCGACCTTCTCCAGGATATCGGCAAGGCTGTTCTAGAGAGCTACTCACGGGTGCTGGAAGGCGCAGCGTCCAACATCCGGTCGCGCATCAGAGACGTGCTGCACGCCAACTACCTCTTCCTCAACCCGCAGCAGTTCGTCGACCTGCCCTGCGATCCGCACCCACAGGGCCTGCGTCACCCCACCTTCAGCGTGCTCATGCCCGAAACCGTCTTTGACGCCGTCTCCATGTCCAGTGACAATAGCGAGTCTACTAACGGCAGCGTCCGCTCGTTTGACTCTAGTCGCAGCGGCGGGAGCGCTCGATCAGGGAAAGGCGCGCGGGGCGGAGGGGGTGGGGGGCCGGTAGGAGGAGGGGATGGAGGAGGAGGGCTGGGTGCGGCGGTGGGAGTGGGAATGGCGCCGGCGGGCCTGGGATATCCTGGTTCCGGGGTGCTGGGGAAGGCGTCGGCCAAGTGGGATATGCGGCCCCCTCGCAGCCCTGAGCTGCGTAGCCCCTTGATTTCAGGTGCCATGGGCCGGCTTTCGGTTGGTGGCGGTGCGGTGTCTGGTGGTGGGGGTGGCGGTGGTGGCAGCAGTGGAAGCGGGAGATACATGCGGAGTCCTCTTCATGGGCGGAACACTTCTGGTGCAGGCTCAGGTGTTGGTGGTGCTGGTGCTACCAGTGGCGCCGGTGGTGGTGCTGTAATGGGTGGGGGAGTGGGTGGTGGTGGAGGTGGGATGGTGTATCCCTCTTCTGGGTCGGGGGGAGGTGGATCTGGGGGAAGCTCACCCTCCGCCAGTCCCAGCCGAGCCATGCTAGGGGACAGGTTTCTCAGGCGCACTGGATCGCTGCAGCCTAGGGGAAAGCGGGGAAACCGGGCGTTGGGGAGGAGTCAGAGCGGAGGGATGGCTGATGAGGTTATGTGTGGGATGGGAATGGGTGGTGGTGGTAATGGTGGTAATGGCGGCGGTGGTGGTGTTGCTGCTGGTGGTGGTGGTGGGGTGGGAGGAGGGCGTGGAGTGGGGTCTCCTGGTTACCAGGTATCGCCTTCGCGTGGGCCTGTGCAATTCTCGCCGGGTGCGGGGTTGCCGCCCCAGCCTCCGGCGAGGACACGATCGGCGAGTGCGGACTGGAGTTGAGTTGAGCTACTCTTCATTTAAGAGGTCGTGCTGGGGAAACATATCACTATGACCTGAGAAGCAATTCTGAGAACTAGTTTGCAGGGAGGGGGAATGTATTATCATTATTGCCTCATTCTTATTGAAATGATTTATTTCCTGCTGGCACAATAACACAAACAGTGGTCCACATCAGGCATGCTGATGTTTGGGGGCGCTAGTGCGACAAACAGTTACTAAGTAATTGCTCTCGTATCCTCGCGACCCGGGCATCTCCTTTCGCGAAACTTGAGGTTCATGGAACTGGAAGTCGCATCAAGCCACGTGGAACCAGAACGCGAAGCCTATCCACCAAGATAACTCCATTTGTTCCATCTCCGTCCCCCCCCACTCTTGCCATTTATCGACTGTTCCCATTTGTGCTCACTAGTCTAGTCTGGCCTAAGCAACTGGTCGACCGTAATTATGTCTCTAATCATGTCGGCCAGCACCAGAGCGGCGGCTGCCACCCTAGCATGCGCTCCGCTTCAGCCGTGTGCAGCGGAGCGAGCGGACACATCCGCAGTTCGCTGCTTAGGAGGCTCCTGGAGCGTCCTTGCTCCCAGACAAACCGCACGAGTAGGCTCGAGTCGCAGAGCGTTCCGAGTGCGGGCTAGCCAAGAACCAGATAGATTTTCAGCATCCTCCGGTTCAGAGTGTTCTACGAGTGAATTGCAGGATAATAACGGAGCCTCCTCTAAGGGAGCATTTTCTCGCAGAGCTTCCCTGCTTCTCGCCGCATCTGCCGGCGCGTTGCTCGCGGATTGGTCCGCTATCCCCGTGGCGCAAGCGCTGCCGTTTTTGCTCCCGCCTGCCGGCTTCCGTCTGTACGTGGATCGGCTCGACGGCTACTCGTTCTTCTACCCCGACTCGTGGGTAGAGGTGAGCCCGGGAAGAGTTGCTTTTGAGAATTCTGAAAAAGGAGACTTTTGAGTCGACCAAAGCCGTGGTCGCATTAACGGCTGCTCGTTATTCGCGACAGTAATTGGATCAGCGTTTGATAATTATCACAGAACACTCGCTAGTTCACGTCATCGACCTGCTGAGCTGCCAGACTGGCTAGTTTGTGCTATCAGCGTGGTGAGATGAGTGGCTCACTAGGTCGCGCGTTTTGACGCCTCAAACGGCGCATACAGCTTTAGAGACGTCCAAAAGTTTTCCTATTAAGACAACAGCTGTACGATACTCACTAGAAGGTCGCGTCATCAAAGGCTGGTTCTGAAAACGCACTCACGCTCTCAAGGCCGCCTGGGTTTCGGCCTTTTTCCGCTCTATTCAGATCACATGTGATCAACCTGATCGGCTTTCGGATCGGCGTGTTTTCGTCATCGGCTCGCTCGTCCTTTTTGAGCTTCGGAGCTGCTGTGCTCGTTCCTGAATCATCTGACATCCGCGCTCGTGTGATTCTGAGCTTCCAAGTTGCGCATTTCCCGAGCCCTCTTCACTCGCCCTCCGCCGCTGTTTCTCCGCCATTCTCACCGCCATTCCTCCCGTCGTTCCCGCCGTCAGGTGCGGGGATCCGGGCAGGACTGTTTCTTCCGCAGCTCGTTCAACCTCGACGAGAACGTGAGCGTCGAGGTGTCGTCGCCCTCGTCGTCCCGATTCGCGGTATGTAGTGCGCTGTGTGTGTGCTATGCGCTGTGTGTGTGCTGTGCGTTGTGTGTGTGGTATGCGCTGTGTGTGTGGTATGCGCTGTATGTGTAGTATGTGCTGTGTGTGTGGTATGCACTGTGTGTGTAGTATACGCTGTGTGTGTGGTATGCGCTGTGTGTGTGGTATGCGCTGTGCGTGTGGTATACGCTGTGTGTGTGGTATGCGCTGTGTGTGTGGTATGCGCTGTGTGTGTGTGTGCTATGCGCTGTGTAGTGTGCCATGTGCTGTGCCGCGAGGCACATATTCCAATCTTTGACACAGCCAACCCGCGTTAAGTCCAAAGGCAATCGCTAAAAAAACAGTACCCACCCTGCAGTGAGGAGAAAGGTACAGAGATTGCGGATCATATAGCGCATATGATCTGGGACAGCCTGGGAGGCCCGCAGGCAGCAGGGAAGCGAGTAGAGAAGCAGCCTCTAACGGAGTTAATGTCCACGCACCTTCCTGTACCCCTCTGCACTCTCCCATTCTCCGTGTCGAACCCCTGTACAGTCTGTACGCGACCTGGGAGCCCTCCAGGCAGCAGGTCAACGAGTGGAGAAGCAGCTTCTAACGGAGTTCCTGTGCCCCCCCGTACTCCTCTGTACTCCCTGTTAACCCCCTGTTATTCCCTGGTTAATGCATGTGGCTGTACAGTCCGTGCGGGACCTGGGAGCCCCCCAGGCGGCAGGGGAGCGAGTAGAGAAGCAGCTTCTAACGGAGTTCATGTCCACACGCCTGGGCGTGCGGCGCGAGGCCTCCCTCATCTCCTCCGCCAATCGCATCGTGCCAGCTGGCACGGGAAGGAGAGGCGCCGGGGAGCAGGAGGAGGACGCGGAGTACTATGACGTGGAGGTGAGGGGGCGTGGGGGTGGGTGGGGGGGTGTTGGTGAGTGCGGGTGTGGGGTTGTGGTGGGGAGGAAGATGGAGGAGAGGAGGGTGTTGGGTATGCGGGGTACTAAGACGTGGAGGTGAAGGGGGTGGGGGGCCTGAGGTGTGGTGTGAGGTGAAGATAGTGAGGGGGAAGGTGCGGGGTAGTGAAGGGGGGGGGTGAGGGAGAGTGAGGGGGGAGGTGAGGGGGAGTGGGGGAGGAGGTGAGTGGGGATTGAGGGTGAAGATGGAGACGAAGGGTGTTGGGGACGAGGAGTATTATGACGTGGAGGTGAGGGGGGGACGGGGGGGTGAGGGTGTGCGGATTGAAGGGGGGAGGGGATTTTGGGAGAGTGTGGGCGAGGGTTGTTGAGGAGGACGCGGAGTCCTATGACTTGGAGGTGAGGAGGGTGCGGCGACTGGTCAGGTCCTTGTTTGCAATTCCAAACAGCCCATTGCATCCTCTCCTCCCCAACAACTCCTCTCCACCCTCTCACCACCTTCTCCCCACTCTCTCCCCCCTGCTTACTTCACCCGTGTTTCCCTCTCTTACCCGCAGTTGAACGTGAAGTCGTATGCCAATAACAACCAGCTGGCCATCATGCCGGACGAGCGAGTGCAGGTGCTCGAGTGGAACCGCCGCTACCTCACAGTGCTCGCAGTGGCCAACAGACGCCTGTACCAGCTGCGCCTGCAGGTGCCTGAGAGGCTGCTGGATTCCGAGAGGCCCGTGTTGCGGCAAGTCATGGACTCGTTCCGCGTGTTCAGCGTTGCCGAATAGGTTTGCTTGCTTGCTTTGTTTGTTTCGTTTTCCTGGAGTAGACAACTGTCAAGAAGAGTACACCTCCGGATTTAGTGGTTACAATCTTGAGAGAGGCCTACCTTTAACCCCAAATATAAGCACTGCTCCTCGTTCTTCACTGTTGAGTCGAATCCTCGTTCTTCAGCGTATTTTGCCCCATAACTTTGCCACATAACGTCCCTAACTGTTCAAGAACACACTGAATTCCAAACTCACCACATTTTTTTAAGGGGGCTGTATTTTGGAAGAAGTTTGTCTTCGTAACAAGGTGTGACAACATGTTCTGAGTGCTACGAAGGTGACTTTGTATCGGATCACTTTTGGAACATTTTCTGCGACGCATGTGCGTCTGCCCCTTGGCCTGGCATCACGCCGTGACTATCGCTGGCAAATCAAGTAAGGTGATTTTGATGTCAATCACACTATTACGGAGGGTGGTTCTCCTTCGGGATATTCAACAGTTCATCTCCACATCCCTTCGATCGGCGGGAAGAAAGCTTTTTAGTCAGTATGCTTGTGTTCACACTCAAGTCACTTCAATTCTGTTTATCCGATTGCTTCCTAGTTCCAGTCTATCCACTTGCACATTTCAGCATTTTGGAGCACAAGGAAAGTGTGACATGTTCAGGACACCAAGCTTTATGGCTCAATTGTTTAAAGCTCCATCTAGCGAGTCTGCAAACTGGTATTGTTTCGGGTACACAGAACTAAAATAGAACTATCAGGATTCCCTCCGACATGCTGGCCGTCACCAAAAGAATCAACCATGTGAAAAAAGATCCATTGCGTGAACCTCTCCGCTGAAACCTGTGCCTCGAGAGTTTTGCGAAAGTGCCTGACTTGGGTTGATTGAGTTTGCGTCGCCGCCGGGCTTGGCAGAGTAACCGCATGGCGAAAAATCGCACGCCTGCGAAACTTGCGCAGTGCGCAACTGCCGCATTCGATTCCGATGTAATGCGTCTTCCTGCCAAAATGTTCTCCTGTTAGAGACTCCAATCCCTCCCCTCCCCACCCTTCGACTGGCAAGACGAATTTGTTTCGTGGGAGCTCATTCCCACGCATACATAAATACGCTTGTCATCCCGTTCTCATCATCAGTCACCCACATTCTTCGCAAATTCCTTAGCCAGTCGCTCTCCCTTCTGCTTGTTCACCGGTTATTCTCCTCTCACCGGTTTTTCGAGTCGGGGTTAACTCCTTTGCCAACTATGGCTCACAAAGCAAGGTGTCGCCACCACGGCGGTGCTGCCAGTGCTTCTGTTCATGCTGCTCCTGACGTCAGCATCGTATGTCGCCATAGATAAGTTCCGCGTCTACTCGTCAGCATCGTATCACGGTGCATTGTTCCGTTCAGTTTCGGATGTAATATTCTTCTTCGGTATACACCGCCTCTACAATTGATATCATTCTGCTTTGGTTAATTCGGGTACTACTACATGATAGTACTATAATCTACTCGACCTAATCCATTCCATCGCGAAAAAGGGAAGTTGCGATTTTTGTCATCCGAAGGATTTTCTGCGAAATGTTTGCGGAAAAGTTGCGCGAAGTATCCAAAAAACAACGACCCGAAATTGCAGGGGAAAATATGTCACAAGTAACCAACATGGGACTCGATAACGTGAATGGTAAAAAAGTTCCACGTACGGTCACTGTATCGAGTTTGCTGACGGGTTTGGTAAGTGGGGTCACAGTTTTAGTCACTAACAACAGGTGAAAAATCACACGAATGGTCACACGTGTAACTCCCGCCAAAATTTCGTGAAACTCTACAAAATTCCCGCTCGCACCCAACCAATCAGCGAAGTTCTAAAAATACTAAAACCCAATCGGAATCGGATGCGGTTTGGGAACATATCAACCCTAAACACCTGGCGAGTTGTGTTTCTTAGAAGCTAGGCATGAGTGATGTCGACTATCGAGAAGGTTGGTACAAGGAAAAATGAACCTAAGGGGTTGTACCCCACAGTGTGTACCCCACTAAGCCTACCCAAAATATAACATAGATATACATATGTTTGACACACCCCCATAGGCAGAGTGGGGGAGAACAGAGGGTCACAAGACCAGTCAGGAAGTGCAAAGCAAGCTCAGGGTGGATCACAACGTCACCACGCAGTCTGAGCACAAGCAAGAAGGCCACAAGGCCAGTTCACATGCAGAGATATATATGTAACAACAACAGTACAGTGAAATCTACCTACAAGAACAAGCATGCTGACATACATATAAATCATGATACAAACAAAGCCTACAGCAAGTGAGGAAGAGTGGGCACAAGGCCTAACAAAGTGCAGAAACGCTGATGATCACCAGGCGGAAGTGCCTTGGTGAATATATCAGCAGTGTTGGCCCGAGTGGCCACGTAGGTAAGACGAAGCTGGCCACGCTGCTGCAGCTCTCGAGCAAGAAAGTAACGGAGAGCGATGTGCTTCGTTCTGTGCTCCAGTCTGTGCTCCTGACACAAGGCAATGGCGGCCTTGTTGTCGACGTACAGCACTGGAGGAGAACGAGGCCGCTCTCCCAAGTCAGTCAGCAGGTAGGTGAGCCAGCGAAGCTCCTGTGCAGCCATGGCTGTGGCGTAGATCTCAGCCTCACAACTGGAGCCGAGAACTGAAGACGAGCGTGTAGAACGCCAAGAAACTGAACCAGAGCCAAGGCTGAAGGTGTAACCCTGTGACGACCGCTGCGTAGCCTGGTCGTCAACCCAAGAAGCGTCCGAGTGACCAGTGAGGACAACGTCACCCCGTCCTCCAAGCACAAGCCCCATGCCCGATGTACTGCACAAGTACCGTAGTACCCTCTTGGCAGCATCCATGTGCACCTTTTGGTGCCGACCAGGAGCCACGTAGCGAGCCAGAAGGCCAAGAGGGTACGCAAGGTCAGGACGAGTGCAAGTCATCAGGTACATGAGGCAGCCCACTAACTCTGGGTAAGGACCACTCGACTCTACGGACTCGTCCGAAGGTGGAGCTGAGAGCGAGTGACCTGTAGCCAGAGGAGTGGCCTGTGCTGAGGACCAGGTGAAACCGAAGCGCTGAAGGACCTGCTGCACCATGTGTGACTGAGTCAGTGTGATGGTGCGGCGTGCTCTGTCCCGGGTGATCTGCAAGCCAAGGTAGCTGCGCAGTTCACCCAGGTCTGTGCACGTGTGTCTCTTCTGCAGCTCCGACTTCACTAGGGCGAGAGCCTCAGTGTCAGCAGTGGCAAAGACGAAGTCGTCGACGTACACGAGAACGTAGAACGGCGGCAGCGAAGTGTCGGTGCGCAAAAACAGCGACGGGTCAGCAGTCGACGGAGCAAACCCAAGAGCCGCAAGTGTCGTCCTCAGTGTGTCGTGCCACTCACGTGGCGCCTGGCGGAGACCGTAGACCGGCCGCCGGAGGCTCCACTGGGTACCAGGAGGGAACGACCCAGTGAAGCCAGGAGGGCGGCGCAGCCAAATCTCCTCGTGCAGGCTGCCCTGTAAGAAGGCTGTGCTGAAGTCAAGAGAGTGAAGCTCGTAGTCACGCTGAGCGGCAACGTGCAGCAGCACCCGAAGAGTGGTCATCTTCGGGGTGGGGGAGAAGGTCTGGAAGAAGTCAACTCCCTCTCGCTGACTGAAGCCTCGAACCACGTAACGAGCCTTGAAGACAGGCGGAGAACCTGGCGGCCGCTTCACCCTGAAAATCCACATGCCACTGACAATGTTCGCCCCAGGAGGGGGAACCTCGTTGACGTAGGTGCCTGTGGACTTCCAGGATGCCATCTCTGCGTCCATGGCTGTCTGCCACTGAGAGGAGTACTCACCCGCGATCGCCTCAGCGTAAGAGCGCGGGGTAGGGATGTCTGGTGCATCCGGGTCTCCCTCAGGGGCAAGCAGCATGGATACGAGATGAGGCGTAGCAGCTGCAAGACACTCATGGTCCTCCTGCCTGTCCTCAAGGACGTCCGTGCCAAGAGCACACTCACCCCCGACGAACGGAGGACAAACAGACGTAGACTCAGCAACAAGACTGGCGGCGTAGTCTAGACGACAGTGAGCAGCAAAGGCAACAAGCTCAGTGACTAAGGCAGACGCAGCAGCAGACTCAAACGACGGGTCAGTGACAACAGTGGCAAGCAGACGCGTGACAGTAGAGTGCTCAGCACGAAACCGGTCAGACGCAGGGTCAGCAACGACAGGCAGAGAGGACGCAGGGGGAGGCGGCAGAGGAACACGCGGGGAAGGAGAGGAAGGACGACGAACTACAAGGGGAGGGCCGGAGACAGCCGGCTGGCACTGACGAGGAACACGACGACCGGAACTGACAGGGGAGACAGGCCGCGACACAGGCTCACGACGCTTTGCAAGGCCACCAGGCTGCTCTGTGTACGGAGAAGGAGCAGGCAGCGGTGAGCCAGGCTGTAACGGAAGACCAGTAGACGAGGGAAGACTGAGAACCTGGCGAAGTGCAGAGTCAGGTGGTGGCTGAGACGATGGAGACGGCGGAGCAAAGAACAGGCGCGGCTGAGCAGTGCCACCAGCAGCTCCAACACCTCCAGCAGCTCCAGCACCCCCAGCAGCTCCAGCACCTCCAGCGGCTCCAGCACCTCCAGCAGCTCCAGCACCTCCAGCAGCTCCAGCACCTCCAGCACCTCCCTCCAGCAGCACCACCACCAGCCCCAGCAGCTCCAGTACTCCCAGTACGAGCACCTCCGGGACCAGCGACACCAGGAGAAGAACCACCAGTAGGAGAGCCCTGAGGTGCAGAAGTGGGAAGCCGACGGCGACCGTACCAGTTGTGCAGCTGCTGGGAGGTGAGGGGCACACGCGGACGAAGACGGCTACTCCAAGGAGACCGCGTAACAGCAGTCTCAGAACCCTCAGGCAACTCACCCCCAGACTCAGCACTCCCAGGCTCAGCACACACAGGCTCAGCACCCCCAGACGCAGCACCTCCAGACGCAGTACCCGGAGACGAGGCACCTCCAGGCTCCACACGCTCAGCGCCCCCAGA